CAAAAATACATAGCCGAAACCGGTTTGGCTCAATGGATAGAGCGTCGGCTTGGGGATTGAACGGTTCCGGGTTCGATTCTGGTCAAGGGCATGTACCTTGGTTGCGGGCACATCCCCAGTAGGGGGTGTGCAAGAGGCAGCTGATCGATGACTCTCTCTTATTGATGTTTCTAACTCTCTATCTCTCTCCCTTCCTCTCTGTACAAAATCAATAAAATATATTTTTTTAAAAATACATAAAGTTCATGTTTGATTTGCAGACTGCAAATGTGTTCCTGTTTGGGTAAGAAGTGGCCATTGCTGAATTTTTGCATGAAAAGGAGTAGGTGAGGCCTGTGCCTTTTCGGAGTTTGCGTGTAGATCCTGTGTAAGTGGACAGAACCTATTCCTGATGCAATGCATTCCAGCAAAATGTAGACAGAATTCTGCACACACACTCGTCTGGAAGAAAGGGACCCACCGGTAGAGGATGGGGTTAGTTGTCAGCAGGCAGGAAAACCAATCTCCTCCTCTCCTCCTGAGTGCTCTTGGCTTATCTGAGGTCCTTTGCTCAGCAGGTGCTGTCTGTGTAACAGTGGTGAGCTGTATGCAGGAGCCTGGGTCCCCAGTGGGTACTCTGAGTCATGCACACGCAAGCACACAGGGGTGGGAGCTCACGTGATGACTTGCAGAATATTCTACCCGCCGCTTCACAATCATGAGAAAAGCACATTCTTGAAAACCATGTCTAGATCCTGTAGAGAGAAGCATCCAACTCTTTCCTGTCAAATGTTCTGCTCCCTTTGTGCGTGTGTGCATGTTTGTGTGTGTGTGTGTGTGTGTGTGTGTGTGTGTGTGTGTGTGTGTTTGATCAGAAATTTCAAATCAAGACCTTCTGTTTTATTTAGCCCCAGGATGAAATCTTCCCTGAAAAATCAACCCAGGTCTTGGGCAGAGAGCAGACTGGCCCACCTGGCATTGGGGATGGCACTGGGTAGTTAGGAGATGTTTCTGTAGAACCTTCTGTGCTGGTGGCCTCCTGAATGCATCCTCCCTACATACAAGGGAGGGGGGCTCGCAGCAGGACAGGAGGGCCGTTGCAGGGGTCACATTTCAAGCAGGTGCCTGGGGTCACAAAGAAATGTTCTGGGATGTCCCCTTCATCATCTGTTACCCGTGCCTGTTGCTAACCGTGCTTTGCCGAGGAGGTGGTACTAATAGGCGCAGTCTAAAGCATACTAAGTGTTATAAAGCGCCACAAGCATGATGGTCTGTTCTGATCCTTTCAACAAAGTCATCCTATTGAATAAATGAGGATGCTGACACTCCGAAAATAAACTGCCTGTGGTCACAGCCAGCGTGAGGCCGTGCCCCTGCTTCACGCTGTGGCTACATGTGCACACACTGGAGTCAGTATGAACGGGGCAAAACATGTGCACACCCTCCTGTGCCCCCCGGGAAGAGTGCCCGATCGCCCTGCCCAGAGAGACCCCCTGGTTTCTCTTTCACTCCTTCCTCCTCCCCGCCCCCCTACTTTCCTGGCTCTTGCTGCCATGGCAGGCATGTCTGTGTTGAGAACATTTAGCAAAGCAGACCCGATGGTCTGACTCATGAGAAAGTACACGATGAAACCACGTCCTGGGTGCTTCTCTATCACAGGATCTTGAATTTACAAAGTAAGAGAGTAAAAATAAAAATAAAAATCAGCCTGATTTTTATTTTTATTTTTACTCTCTTACTTTGCAAATTCAAGTGCCATCCCCAATGCCAGGTGGGCCAGTGTGGCTCCGTGGGTGAGCACGGACCTCTGAACCAGGAGGTCATGGTTGAATTCCCAAACAAGGCACATGCCCGGATGCAGGCTCGACCCCCAGTGAGGGGCGTGCAGGCAGCAGCCGATCAGTGATTCTCTCCCGTCATTGATGTTTTTATCTCCCTCTCCCTCTCCCTTCCTCTCTGAAATCAATAAAAAAAAAATATTTTTTTTAAAAAGAAAATACGAGCAAACATTCACATGACATTTCCCCACAAAGTGTTATTCAGTTGGGCAGCCTTAGATGAGTTTTGGTCCCTCTCCCTCCCACCTCGCACGCACGCACGTGCTGATGGGTTTTTCTCAGCTTGGATGTCTGCGGTTTCACAGCTCGCTGTCGCCTCCCTCCGAAGCCGGTAATAGAAACAGATGGTGGCAGTGTGCTGTGCTGTGCGCCGCGCCTTCCTTCCCTCGGGGGGCGGGGGGGAAGCTCTGCCGGGAGTCCCGGGTCTTCCTCAGAAGGATTCTTGGTTCATGCTCTGTCTTTGGGTTTTCCTAGCCAGGAGGACATGGAGTGAAGATTGGGGGACCCCCATCCCCCCATTATCTGTGCCCTGGCATTTCATTCCATCTCAAGACACCTGAACTCGATCTGGATAGAAGCGTGCCAGAGAGAAACCCTCTGCTTCCGGTAATTTTCATCATTCACCCCTATTGACTCGCCCTTTATTTCCACGCTCCCTCTTATTGATCGTGTACTATCTTCCTCTGCCATCGGCTGCCTGGTTGTTGTCATGGATGTCTGTGACAGGACGGGGTCATTTGGGTCCTGTTTGGTGCATACATGTTCAGTGTTTTGCGTAAGAGCATCTGTGCAAACATTTGCACAATGGATTTAAAGGGACATTTTGTACTACTGGTTTTATTTTATTTTATTTTTTAATGGGAACATGTATTTCTCCTCTCTTGATTGACTACACTGCAAAGGCAGGAAGAATGCATTCGGCTGCTGCTCAGACAGCCCTGAGGTGGCGCGTGCTGGCAGGTGTTGCTGCCAGCCCTCCCCGCAGTCGGCTGTGTCTGCGGCTGGGCTCCCGCCGCATTCCAGCCGGGAGCCGGAGAGCCAGGCCTGAATGGAAGGGTGCTGACCTGTTCCAGGCAGACTCTCCACTCAGGGGACATGTGTGTTCCCGGGGATTTCACTGTGTAAGCCTGGATTTCCACATAGCTCCTGCAGAATGCTAAGTGTCTGCCATCGGAAGGGACAGTAAGGAACTTCTCAGGGACCTTAATGGATCTGTGTTTAATGTTATTGTCATCAAAGTCATAGATGTACCTACACAAAACGTCAGCTGGTTCTCTTAATGGACTGTACAAAAAAAACCATAGCTATCCCCTTTCCCCCCCACCGCCATCCTAGTCCTGCTTGCTAAATACAATCATCTTCCACTTTAGCTTTCTTGTGATATTTATCTCCGTACTTCTCAATGGCTCGGTACATCTCTGTATTCCTTAATACAAAAAGGTTTCATTCTGTTATTCCTCCAAACTCCCAACACATACAAGTCATTACCAAGGGCGGAGATTGAGAAGGGAAACAGGCATTCTGAAAGTCAGAGAGTATCGTGGGAGCCAAAGGAAAAACAGCATTTCGGAAACAGTGAAGGGGTCGAACACATCCATTGAGGGCTGAAATGGCACCTGAGCGGAGATAGATGGCATGGCCCGTTGCTTTCACAGGAAGGTCTGGGACCACGGAGGGCAATGCTGGTGGAATTCGCATGGGATTGTTTGAGGAGGGGGTGGGAGCGAGGACGTCAACACTGCTTGTAAGCCATAGAGACTCCAACAACCAGCGTGGGCCTTAACTGGAAGGGAACACTCCTCACTATAGAGCATGATGTTACCACTAATGGAACAGGTGAATAAAGCAAAAAGGTGGGAATTGGGCACATTTCTTAATGCGAACGTGAAGATGTTATTGGAGCGGAACTGGCACGTTGATGCGCCAGGACCTGAGAGGTGAGGCCGTGTAGGGTGCAACTGTGTGGAGCTGGAACTTTGGTTGTAAAAAGCTGTGCTCATTTGTATTCTGAGGACGAGGGAGATGAGATGCAGGGAGATAAACCGACATCTCCAAGGCCACACGCTGAGTGATGAGGTTGGGAAGAATCCGTTAAGTGTTGACTGTTCTTTGCTGTCTCGGTCATACTAATCAGCACAGAAGATGCAGGCTTTCCCTTCTGGGCCAGTGTAGCTTGGAGTACAAATTCCTGCAGCTAGAACAAGAACTGCAGCTCTTCAAATGAACTCTGTTGAGTTCTCTTACCTCAAGTTGGTTCTGACAAGTAAAAGAAGGCAGTCCCAATCAGCTTTTGAAATAAGAAGGGGAAAAAAAAAAAGCCATATTCACATAACCTTTATTCCTGCCTCTAAACAGCTGAGGCTAAAAGATATCATTTCACTCCCCCTCTCCTCTCCCATCCCGCTGGTTGACAACTGCCTGGTTGTGTATGAGTCAAACTCTGAACCATACAAAGAGGAATGAATCAAGCATGGGAGTGGAGCCGAGAGCTACAGAAATCACCTGAGAGATAGGAAAGTTCAGGGAGGTCAGGGCCAGTGGTCTCAAGTCTGGAGGAGGCTCCTTGAGGGTCAGATAGGGACAGTAGGGCAGGTCCTGCCCAAGGCTGCTGGGCCCAAGCCCTGTGAGTGACACTGGGCAAGTTCTAGAAGAAACTAGAGGGTATGCTGGCATCCACCACCAGGCCGTTTCAGAAATGGATTCTTACAGACTTTTCTGTGGGCAATGGTATTTCTGTTGTTGTTTGTTTGTTTGTTTTAATATATTTTATTGATTTTTTACAGAGAGGATGAGAGAGGGATAGAGAGTTAGAAACATCGATGAGAGAGAATCATCGATCAGCTGCCTCTTACACACCTCCTACTGGGGATGTGCCCGCAACCAGGTACATGCCCTTGACTGGAATCGAACCTGGGACCTTTCAGTCCACAGGCCGACGCTCTATCCACTGAGCCAAACTGGTTTCAGCTCCGTTGGTTTTGATCCCTTCCTTTGCAGCCTCCCTCAAAGCTCTTCTCCCATCTCACCCCCATGGAGTTGCTAGGGCACAAGTCTCAACAACTGATCTGTGGAATCCACAGACTCTCCCCCCCACTCTCCAGGCGGCTGCCTTTGCGATCCACCATTCAACAATCTCATCTTGTCATTCTGATGTTCTTTTCTGTAACTCCGTGTTTTCCTCAGGCTTCTGCGGACCCAGTCCCTGGAATGGTTCTACAATAACGTGAAGAGCCGTTTCAAGCGCTTTGGCAGCGCCAAGGTCCTGAAAAACCTGTACAGGAAGCACCGGCTGGAGAGCGGAGCGGGCTTCGACATCCTAGGTATGCTGGCCGCCTCTTACTCCGGAGTCCTTAGGGGGATGGGAGGTAGGGGTAGAAGAAGGCCTTGCTTGGAGGCCCCATATGCTGAGGCACACTCACCTGGACAGGACAAGCTCCTTAAATATCCCCCTCTAGTGAGGAGGCAAAAATAGAACCTCAATCAAAGCTTCTGTTAAGTTTTGAGTCCTTTGGTTCCAGCATCCCCAGTGGGCTGGGTATATTAGGAGTGAAGAGGACCGAAGTATTTCTGCAAATCATGGACATTCTAAATCTGGATCCTTAGAAATAAAAGATTCTTAGTCATCTTTCCCTAAGGATTTCAGCATCAGCAAGTCATCCTGGGTCGGTTGAGTAGACTAGGTCTGCACTCGGAGAATGTGGCCCCCACTTCCCTTTCCTCCTACTCCAAGATGCTCTTTATACCAGACCCTGAATGTGAGGGAAGAGGAGAGTGAAAGAAAGGATGACGCCTGTATACGCTGTTTTATTCAGTTCACACAGCCAATGTAGGGAAACCAGAATGAGGAAGTGTATGCTACAGCTCCAGTAGACCAGCCAGTACAAAGAAATTGTTGTCAGGATATGAAAAGCACCTCATCCAAAAAAGGCTGATTTTTTGTTTTTTTTGTTTTTTTTTTCTGTCTAGAGGGAGGTTTTTCCCCCATTACTTTGCTGACACAGGTGAATGCTTTTTATTCACAAGAAAGAGGTAGAGGTGAATCTCCTCCATCTCATTTAGAGCTTTTTCACCATCATTATTTGGTATTCTCCAAAATAGGATGGAAGCATTAAACCTGGGGTCATTAGCGCCTTTTGTGGTGGTTGTTAGAATCTCTGTCTTTCTGCCTATGGCAAAGAGGGCAGTGCCCAAGATTGCCACCTATTATTTTTATCTTCTCTTTGTGGGGTTTTCTAAAATAATAATAATAATAATAATAATAAATTTAAAAAAATGTTTCTAGGAATGGAGGCAGAAAAGAGAACTTTTGTAATGGTGTTCACAGTAGTTTTTCAACCCAAAAATATTTCTCAAGAAAGTTCCAGAATAGAACCGGCTCACTCATTTGCATGCCGTCTCTCTTGTCCTCTCTTGTGCACCCTCTGGTCTGCTTTATGGACCCGTTTACGTGTCCACAAATTCAAATCTCATTGGTGTTCTCTAGGGCTTCCTGCAAATAGAAAGGAAAGCAAACCTGTGTAGAGACTCTCACAGCACAGAACACAATTCTGATCTCCTTCCATTTCTCCCCATGGCGCCACTGGTGGAGCAGGCTGACAGGAATCCCAAGTGGGCCATCTCAGGGCTTTGAAATCCTCCAGTGTCATCTTCAAAGGATAATCGTTTGCTGGGAATAACTGTCCGCCATGATGGGAACAGATGTAGGTCCCGGGCCTTCTGTAATTCACCACTTTCACCCGGCGCTCAGTCACAGCTCTTAGCACTTTGCATCCGGTGATGGTTGACTAAGCTGGGCCCCTGCGGGGCCACGTGGAGACAACAGCTCCTTTGTCTCTGTGTTCTCAAAGCAAGGCTTAGTGCCCAGCATATATTATGATCTCCATATTGCACTAGCTAGTTCAATCTTAAAGCATTTTGTAGGTACCAAGATACTTCATAGAAATATTAGAATTGGTTGCTTTAATACAATTGCTATCTCCATTTTATTGATGATTTCCTCTTGATAAATAAGTCAAGCAGATGGGAAACACTTTATGAGATGATACTCAAGCCTGTAAAGCCATAATCATAAAATGAGATTTATTCTGCACCCCACCTAGAAAATTTAGTTCCATCTCAAGTGCTTAGATGGCCTCCTGGTTATGTTAGATGAGTGGGGAGTCATTACCATTGTCTTCTAGCTACCACCCAACACCCTTGTATGGTTGTCATCTGCCATCCTCAATCCTGACTACTCATTAGGACCCCCTAAGGTGTTTTAAAAAAACAATCCAGTGTCCAGATCATCTTCCAATGCTCAGTCAGTTACTTCTGAATCTCTGGAGGGGGAACCCATTCAGATATTATTTAAAGTTCTCTGGGTAATCTTCAGGCACAGCCAATTTCTCTATAATTTGTTCAGGAGAATTCTGAATAAATGGTTCCATCTTCAATTCATCTAAGGGAACTTGTTTTCAGAATCTTTTTAAAAAAATTTTATTGATTTCAGAGAGGGAGATAGAAATATCAATGCTAGAGAATCATTGATTGCTGCCTCTTCATGCCCCACACTGGGAACGAGCCCGCAACTGGGGCATGTGCCCTGACCTGGAATTGAACCAGTGACCTCCTGGTTCATAGGTCGACGTTCAAACAATGAGCCATGTCAGCTGGGCCATTTTCAGAATTTTGATTATCATATCATAATATGCAACATCTACAGTGTGTAAGGCCTGTGCTGAGCTCCAGATCTCTCAGTGCAACTGTTAGAATCAGTGCCATGGACTGTAGCTAAAGAGCAGACGCACAAGGTCTCATCACCATCATGAGGAGAGCGCTCTTGTTAGTCCTCTTCTTCAGTGTCAGAGAGGTCAGGGTGCTTGCTCAAGGTTACATGACTAATAATTTGTAGGTCAAAGGAATTGACCTCACATTTCTCTGAATTCAATCCATTTTTCTGTCTTGGACTCCACATTGCCTCCAAAGAAGGTACTGGAAGAAAGTTGTGGTGGTAGCAATGCTACACCAGGAATCATCAACATGAGAAGAAAAATGTGATTGATCCAAAAGTGTAGTATTGTTGTGTAGCCCAGTGATTCCCTAATCTGATAGCAGGGCTAACTTCAAGTGGGTAATGGTGGTCTGCCAACTTAGTGCATGATAATCATGTTATCTGAAGACCTTTGATAATCATGATATCTCTCTCTCTCTCTCTCTCTTTCTCTCTCTCTCTCTCTCTCTCTCCCTCCATCCCTCCCTTTTCTTCCCCCTCCCGCAGGAGGAAGCTTTTTTGAGGCAAACCTGGAGAATGAAGGAAGTGTTTCAGGAAGTGATTCAACATTTTATAGGCAATCAGAAGGTAAACTTGCTTAAGAATTTACAGCTAATGGAAGGTTGGAAGAGTAGAAGCACCTTCAGATACTGTCCACATCTCCCAGTAGCATTGTAAACACTTGATACAACTATGTATTGCCATGTGGGAGTCTCCAAGGGTCTTCCTGTTGTTGCCTCTTATATGGATCCATCATCAAAATAGATGAGTAAATCCCAGGCGTGGCCTAGAGAAGAGCATTTGCTACCCAGCCACTGGATACCCGGTGACCAACTAGTGAGTGTTTGGAGTTGGAATATAAAAATCAGTATACCTGGGCAATTCATACTGAAGTATTCTTATAAAGAATGTACCACTTACTGATTAACTTCCCCCTTTTTTATATACCATTATAACAGTTCCCTCAGAGCAGAGGTTAAAAGCAAAAACAAATTTCTAGTTGCAAGTAAAGCCTTCTCCAACACGTCAGCTCCCTCTCCAGAGCTCTGAGCAGAAGAGCTAAGCAGAGCTTCCAGTGGAGCCGTCGTTTTACTTGTCGTTGCCTTTCAGAAAGTGACCTCTGTCCTGTTTCCTAGGACACAGCATGATGGACACATTGGCTGTTGCCTTACGCGTGGCCGAGGAGGCCATTGAGGAGGCGATTTCCAAAGCAGAAGCCTATGGGGACAGCCTGGTATGGACCCCTTCTCCTCTCTGGGGCGGTGTGGGGCAGGGTCCTAGCTGCCAGGAAAAAAAGTGCTGGTTGTCAGGAAACCAGTGCCAACCTCTTTCTCCCACGAAAGTGACTGTACCCCAAACCTGCCCAGCAATTGGCCATTCTCTCCCCTCCCTCTGCAGGACAAGCAGAACGAGGCCAGTTACCTGCGGGACCACAAGGAGGAGCTGACTGAGGAACTGGCCACGACCATCTTGCAGAAGGTAGGTGGCCCCACCATCCGATGACTGCGGCTTACCACCCTGGCCCCGAGCAGGGCCTCCTGAGCAATCACTGGCACGGCTGTTGTCGTGGGCACCATTTCTATGCCTTGTCGCTCTGTCCTCTGTGCTCTGGAGGCTAACGCAGAGAGACTGCACTGCAAATCTAAGACCAAGGGTGGAGTGTGTTTGCCTTTAGGGATTGAGCTGGGGGTGGGGAGCCAAGAATCCAGCAACTGAGCAGGTTACTCACTGGCTTCCTGAGCATTATGTGTGTGCATGCCTGTGTACCTGTGTGTGCATGTGTGCATGTGTGGTTGTCCTCTTCTTACACTTCTCAGTCTTTTGCAGAAAAAGCTCACAGTCATCCCCTGCTACCTACGTTGCCTAAACTCCTTTACCGGGTATGTCAGTAATGACTACTTGGAAACCACCCACCCCAAAACTCTGTGGCTTTACACGGGATTATTTCTGTGTTTCACAGCCAATGCTCCACCCCGTAGAATCCAGTTCAGTTCTGACACTAGGCAGCATTCGCACAGACTCCACACGTGAGGGGCTCAGTCCCACAAGATGCAGGTGCAAGTCTCTGGAATCCCCACGTCACCCACTTCTGCCCAGCCCTCCACAAATTCAGGGCTTCCCCATGACTTCTCTCAATTTGGATCATTTGCTAGAACAACTCATAGAACGTAGGAAAGTGATATACTTACAATGACCTTTTTATTATTATGAAGGAAACAAATGAACAGCCAGAGGAACGAGATAATAGGACCACAAGATCTGGGGGGATGGGTGTACAAATGTTCCTTGTCCTCTCTGTGCCTGTGCCAGCTAGGAAGCTTCCCCAAGCCTCAGTGTTTTTAATAGAGGCTTCATTTAGTAGGCATAATTGCTTAAGTCATTGACCACCTGAATGAAAGCAATCTTTAGTCCCTGCCCCACCCCCACCCCCCAGAGGTTGGGGTAGAGCTTAAAGTTCCTTGGTTTACATGATTGGGGTTTTAATTGCTTTTCAGTTACAGTTGACATACAATATTATATTCATTTCTTATTACAACATAGTGATTAGACATTTATGAAATGGTCACCCCAATAAGTTTAATATCTATCTGATACCATACATAGTCATAACAAATTATTGAGCATGTTCCCTATGCTGTACTTCACATCCCATGACTACTTTGTGATTACCAATCATCCCTCACCTTTTTCACCCATCCAGCCCATCCTCTCCAATCTGGCCACTATCAGTTTGTCCTCTATATCTATGAATATGTTTCTTTTTTTTTTTTTCTTTTTTTTTTTTTTCTTTTTTTTTATTGATTTTGTACAGATAGGAAGGGAGAGAGATAGAGAGTTAGAAACATCGATGAGAGAGAGTCATCGATCAGCTGCCTCTTGCACACCCCCTACTGGGGATATGCCTGCAACCAAGGCACATGCCCTTGACCGGAATCGAACCCGGGACCCTTCAGTCCCCAAGCCGACGCTCTATCCATTGAGCCAAACCGGTTTCGGCATATATCTATGAATATGTTTCTGTTTGGTTGTTCCTTTATTTTGTTTTTAAGATCCTACATGTAAGTGAAATAGTTTGGTATTTGTCTTTTACCAGCCTCCTTCTATCTAGTGGCCTTGGCCATGAGTCACCTCATTAGCATAACAAAGGCACTCCTGTCACTCAAACTATTCCAAGGATTTTTGAAGCTCTGTACCAGGAATCAGTCTAACAGCATATAATATTTTTTTATTGTACCACAGTTTATTTCTCGCTCATGCATCTGTACTGGCTCCATCTAAAGCAGTGGGTTGAGTCAAGTGTGTTCACTCTGGGGCCCTACTGAGGGCACATCAGCTACTCATGGCCATGACCAAGCACAAGGCAACAAGAGGAAGCCAATGACATCTATCAAGGCCTAGGCTCAGCCATAACTCCCTGTAACCCACTCCCTCCTCACATGTCATTGACTAAAGCCAGGCACACAGTCAACACAGAGCCAAAGGTGGGAGGTACACCTGACCCTTGAACAATGTGGGGGTTAGGGGGGTAACCACCTGTGCAGTTGAAAATCCATGTATAATTTAAGTCAGCTTTCTGCTTATGCAGATTCTCAACTGCAGTAAGAAAAATATAGGTAAGCCTGGCTGATGTGGCTCTGTGGTTGAGTGTCGATCCATGAGTCAGGAGGTCACAGTTCAATTCCTGGTCAGGGCACCTGCCCAAATTGCAGGCTAGGTCCCCAGTAGGAGGTGTGCAGCCGATTAATAGTTCTCTCTCATCATTGATGTTTCTATCTCTCCCTCTCCCTTCCTCTCGGAAATCAATAAAAATATATTTTTAAAAAAGAAAAATACAGTTGACCCTTGAACCACATGAGTTAGAACTGCATGGATTCACATATATGTGGATTTTTTAAAAATCTGCATTTAAGTAGACCCATGGAGTTCACACCTGTGTAATTCAGGGGGCACCTGTATATTCTCCCTGTCCTGAGAGAAACACAGAGTCACACAGAGTCACATGACGAAGGAAGCATTGGACAAGTTCAGTCTTCCCTTTGGTCACAGTAATTCATGTCTCTTCCCCATGACGCTCTTCCCACCTAAACACCCCCAAATGTCTCATTCAATAACAGATCAAAGTTATACATGTGATTCAGAGTCAGGTCCTTTTAAGATAGAGACCAATGAACTGAGCAAACAAGTCGTCTGTCCCCACACACCAACATGCAATGCTGGAATAGGACAGCCAACCACCCCATCCGCCTGCAGAGATGGGAGGTGACTGGCCCACAGCAGTTCTGAAATCCTGCTCAGTGCCCGTGCCAGGTCCCCATTCTGCAGGCAGGGGGTGCGCCTCGATGAGGCCCAGGTCTGTCCCCGGGGATGCACTGTAGTTCGTTGCTCTCCTTGGCTCTCAGTCTTCCTCTTCATCATCTTGTCTGGTCCGAAAAGGCTTTGGGGAATACGCTCATCTTGGCAACTCAGCTGTTTTCTCAGCTACTTCCTGCCTGTAGGAAGTTGGGAGCCCAGACACCATGGTGTAAATGGACTCATTCAATCCCCATGGCTGTGCCCAACACAGCGAGCGGTGCAAAGCCAGCTGAAGCCAGCCCTGATGACTCCGGCTATCTGCCCCCTGCATAGGCCTTCCCGGAGCTTCCTAAAATCAAGATTTAGAGCCAGAGACTCTGCTTTGAGACCCAGCTCCACTATTTAGGAGCTGTGCATCCTTAACTGATATGTTAACCTCTCTGAGCCTGTTTCCTCATCTGTAAGCCAGGTGGAGTTACCGTCTGTAGCTCTTAGCAGTGTTTTGAGGATTAAATGAGGTAAAGCATCTATGGTGCCCGGCCCAGAGTCTGGCACGTGATGGCCATCATAAAATGATTCTTTGTAAACTGTCAAGTGCCGTGGACTGTTCAAGGCTACAGTTGTACTGTTTTGTCATAAGGCAGATATGAAGGAGGCTGGCGTTCTGTGGAAACCAAGCTCTTGCGTGGCTGAAAGAAAAATCCCAAAGGTGGTCCCGGTTGCTCCACCTAGCCTCCGAGGCCTCTCCAGTAACTCTCCCCCTCTGTCACCCCACCCCCTCCCCAGATCATCAGGAAACAGAAGAGCAAAAGTGAGCAGCAAATGGACGAAGAGCCAGAGTGGTCACAGCCGCAGGGCTGCAGTGTGAAGGCGGCTGACGAAGGGACCGCGGCCTCCCCGGGAGGCCACCCTGCCTCCAGCGTCCCCTGGGTGAGTCTCCGGGCCGTAACGCAGGTGTCCTGCCTGCTCTCCCCGGGAACCGGCGCAGCACACTTACCCATCTGTAATTAACGCCTGTGCCCACCGGATGGCATAAAGGAAAAGGGTGGTGGGCAGGGGGAGAAACTGAGGAAGTGTGTGTGAGAGTCGGGGTAGGAGGGCTGAGGGAGGAGAAAGAAGGAATAGATCCAAAGGGACGGTTGAAGAATCCAGAGGTGGGTTTTTCCACAGTGGCCAATGTAGGGAACATCGAGATGTCAGTAGGCACTTTTTCATTCATTCCAGAAAGAGTTATTTACGAAGTCCCTTGAGGGGGGAAAAAAATCCATATCAGGAAGATCACTTGCTTTTCCAAAACAAAAAAAAGGGACAGCAAGAGAATGGCCACCGCCATCTGAGTCACCAAAATAGCCACATCGAGACATAACCGGGAAGTTGAGGTGGGCTCAGCCTTCCTGTCTGTCACCCTGAGACTAAGCCAAGGGCGCAGTCTCGAAGCACAGTGCCCTTCCTGTGACCGGCCTGGGCCTGCTCCGTCTGCAGCCGCGGCACCTGCCTGTGGAACCCAGGCTCTCTGGGTGCGGGGCCCCAGCGGAGGGCATGCAGAGCATGGGAGAGGCAGAGCCTGAGCCTGGGGAGACTCAGCAAGAGGAGGACTGGCTAGTTGGGCGTGGGTTCCACAGCTCCAGGTGCCAGCAGGCAGAGCATGGGGCTAGCCCAGTGGTCAGCAAATGCATCAGTCCACAGAGCCAAATATCAACAGTACAACAATTGACATTTCTTTGGAGAGCCACATTTTTAAAACATAAACTTCTTCAAAATAGACTCGCCCAGGCCGTGGTAGTTTGTGGAAGAGCCACCCTCAGTGGGCCAAAGAGCCTCATGTGGTTCGTGAGCTGCAGTTTGCCGACCACAGGGCTAGGGCAACACACAGGTACAGCTTAAAACTGGAACGTCAAATGAGTGGGGAGCAGGGGTGCGGGTGGAGGGCAATGCGCAGTGCTTACCCAACTCCTGGAGGTTAGGGGAAAGCGCCCCCTTTCTGAACAGAGGAAAAGAAGGGTGTGCAGAGCAGCCACAGGGCAGACAGGCCACCCGAGAAGGGATGGGCAGCAGCCTCACCTGCATACACCTGCCCGGGGTTCGCCAGCCGCCAGGCGCGTGGGGGTGACAAGGAGCCTCCTATGGCTTTATCCGAGCTTTAACTTCCCTGGCTGATTGGCAGGCCCTTCCCTCGTCGTCACCGTCCTGTTAGCATGTGTGTGTGTGTGTGTGTGTGTGTGTGTGTGTGTGTGTGTCCCCACCGCCTTCCCTAAGGGAGCCTTTTCGCGCAAAGTTCCCGCCTGGGTTCCAAACCAGCACCTCTCGGGCCTTTCTCTTCTGGTTGGAGATCTGTCTTGCCAGACACCTGCCTCCCATATGGCGCGGCCTTCACTCTGGCTTCGACGCCGAGGTAGACAGCGCTGACTCATTCCTTACTCTTTTCCTGGGCAAAGAGCAGAGTATGGTCTCTTTCCCGATGTTGGTATAGAACAGGGCCTGGGGAAGTCCCTCTGTGACTCTCAAGCATCTCTTGAATCTCTTTGCAAGTTATGTGCAGTCCCCAGGATCAGTTCACTTTTGGGGGTTGTGGGGAGAGAGGGCATCACAGAGGTATCAGGAGATAGAACCTTGAGTTTATAGTTTGAAATAAAAGCCCATAAAGGACATTGGTGCACCCCGTTGGGTAAGCACTTCTTCCGGTTAACACTTTAACCCCGGGTTATGTGGCCTGGCAGGGGTGTGGGCACCGTACCTCAGGGACAAGATCACTACAACCTTCATCCTGAGATTGGATGTTTCATCAAGGTGTCTCCTCCTGTCCCCTCCTGCGAGTTCTCCCCAGGCCGTGACTGGTACCATGGAAACAGCATGTTTTCACCTACAGTGCTCAGTCAGGAGACGTGAACACTTGCCTTTCTGCAGCCACACTATGCTCATGGGAACCGCCCCACACAGAGCAGCCTGACTCTGGGAATAAAGAGAAATCCAGCATCCAGCTCGGCCCTGGGCACAGTTGCCCCCCCCCCCCCCCCCGAGCAGCGTGATTGCCAGATTGCAAGGCCCAACTTCCCTTGGCCAGGACCCCTCTTCCTTCCCCTCTAACCGGCACCACAGCAGGGCCAGCCTGGGGCCCTCAAGGTGGGGGCACATCCAGTGGACAAGGGTCAGCTTCCTCTTGGGTTCCATGCAGAGCATCTGGACACACTGCCCACCCATATGGGCGAGGCCAATGCTTCCCTCCCTTCCCTGCCGTACCCCTGCCCCGCCTGGCCCACTCTGGGCCCTAGACCCCTGTGATGAGGGAGCCTGTGCTGGGAATTGGGGCCTGAGAGGGATTGTCAAGGCCACCACATTGCCTGACTATGCGTGCCCCATTCCCCTGGAATACAATATGAGGAGCAACCCCAGCATGATGGCCACAAACACTGACGAGGCCCGAGTGGGAGGGGACAGGAACCATGGCTGTGAGGAGCAGGCACTCTGTTTGCCCATCACAAGATGGGGATGCAGGCATCATTAGACCCATTTTACAGGTGAGGAGACAGAGGCTAAAGCCTTCACATAACTTTCTTAAGGTCACCCACGTGCTAGTGGGTGGGGCCAGGCCTTGAATACCTTTTTCCTGCTCCAATGCCCTCGATCTAGCGTCTTCCTCTGTACGCTCAGGGAGTAACTATGCAGAGTTCGGAGCGCTGCAGGCTCCCTGGGCCCAACTGCAAATTCCAAACTTAATTCATTCCCATTCAGCCAGGGTTTCTCATGAAAGTTCAGTGTGATTGTTCTCTTTTTAATTTCCTCCGTTATTGTGTGGTTCTCTGCCTGCAGAGGGTCAGCACCAGTCTCCTTTCAAAGCCTATGATGCAATATCCTAAAAGGTCCAGCCCGGGGTTATCATTCATTCAGTGCCTGTCCCTCTGGGCACCTGTATATAAAAATGTGTCCCCATAATAATACGATGATCCTCTTGATATCATGATGGTGGCAGCAGGGGCCAGGCACTCGGGATGTGCCAGTGACTAAGCCCAGCCCTGACTCTCTCTCTCTGTCTCTCTTCTTTTCTATTTCCCTCTCCCATTTCACTGTATCACTGCTATTTTCTGCCTCCCAGTTGCTCTCTCCTTTGACAGGCTGTCCTACAGACCTGAAGTCATTTTTATTATTTGTTATAATTATTGGATTGAATTGAATGGCTACGACTGACCCTACAAACACAAAGCAAAGCTGTCTCAATTGTTGAGTCATCTGACCGCTATTACCGGTCCCTTAGCTCCCAAACCCTCGATGCTAAAAACGTTCTGTCCCTGTTTTATGCTGTGAGCTCCTTGACCGCAAAGACTGTTCTGATAGGGATTGGTGCCTCACTCGGGGAGCCTGTTCTGCTGGCCATGATGATCATTAGAGCAATCATAGCGCCGTTCTGAGAAGTGTAGGTAGAATGCGCTGCTGCTGCCCACTCAGGACACAGCGACTGTAAAGGAAGGGGCTGTTGGCCCTTGAACAACAGGGCTTGACCTGCGCAGGCCCACTTCTATGTGGGCTTTTTCCCAACAAATACTGTAACTGTATTTTCTCTTCCTTATGATTTTCTTTTCTCTAGCTTACTTTATTATAAGAAAACAATATACAGCCAAAACCGGTTTGGCTCAGTGGTAGAGCATCGGTCTGCGGACTGGAAGGTCCCAGGTTCGATTCCGGTCAAGGGCATGTATCTGGGTTGCGGGCACATCCCCAGTAGGGGGTGTGCAAGAGGCAGCTGGTCGATGTTTCTCTCTCATCGACGTTTCTAGCTCTCTATCTCTCTCCCTTCCTCTCTGTGAAAAATCAATAAAATATATTTTTTAAAAAGAAAAAAGAAAACAATATACAGCCCACCCAGTGTTGTTCAGTGGTTGAGCATCAGCCCATAAACCAGGAGATCCCATTAAGATTCCTGGTCAGGGCACATGCCTGGGTTGTGGGCTTGGTCCCCAGTGGAGGCATGCAGGAGGCAACCGATCAATGATTCTCTCTCATTATTGGTGTTTCTATCTCTTTCTCCCTCTCCCTTCCTCTTTCTGAAATCAATTTTTCCAAGTTGTTTAAAAAATAGAAAACAGTCGAAACCGGTGTGGCTCAGTGGATAGAGCATCCGTCGGCCTGCAGACTGAAAGGTCCCAGGTTCAATTCTGGTCAAGGTCAATGTACCTTGGTTGCGGGCACATCCCCCGTAGAGGGTGTGCAAGAGGCAGCTGATTGGTGATTCTCTCTCACTGATGTTTCTAACTCTCTATCCCTCCCTGTTCCTCTCTGTAAAAAACCAATAAAATATTTTTTTAAAAAAATAGAAAACAGTATATAATTTCTCTATTTAAAGCCTAATATGCTAAGTGTCCGTCTGGGTAATGACATTACATAGCAGTGTCCAACTTCCTCTCCTTAGCGGTAGCCTTCTTAGAGTTTCTTCAGCCTAGGAACACAACTTGCTTTATAGCCAGGTGGAAACATTGAACACTGTAGTCAAATGTCTGTGAAGTGTTTTCCCATGCTTCATCTCATTTGATCCTTACAGAGGTTCTGGAGTAGATATGAAACTCAGTGGAATCCTATTTTATTTTCATTAGCCAGAAAACAGAGATTAAGACAGCTTAGACCCAACTGAAAAGAAGTAAGAAATGGTGGACCTTGAAAGTGACTTCAGGTTTTCTCACTGTGCAGAATATAGTCAAACACTGCTGCAGTTAAATATTTTACACTTTGTTCTCCCTGAGTGATCTGCAATAATAATCTGCTTCCTGTTGATATTTACAGCTGTGTTACCTGAAAGAGAAGTTTCAGCTTCACTGTGCTGGAAAAAGTTTAGCTAAATCAGAAAGCAGATCTAATTAAGCAAGTTTATTCTATATCTATAAAAGGCTAAGTTGACTTGTGCATGCGCAATACATAAAAGCTCTCGCTGTGCCAATTGCATGCATGTGTATCCATCTGTCATTGTCGATCATGAATTTGGCTGACATTTCTATTATAGAGAAAGGTTGAATAACAATACTAAAATATTTCTTCTAATTTCCTTTCAATGTGCATGAATTCATGCATCAGGCCACTAATAGGGGATATAATACAAAATATGTTAATCAACTGTTTGCATTATCAGTAAGGTTTCTGTCAACTATAGGCTATTAGTAAAGTTTCGAGGGGGGTCAAAAGTTATACATGAATTTTTCCACTGCACAGGGGTCAGCATCCCTAAATCCCACATTGTTCAAAGGTTACTGTATCCCAGAGGTAACTGGTAATCATATTGGGTGTCTCACCTAGAGCTGCAGGGCCAGGGAGTTCCATAGCAGGTCCTGCTGGGTGCACAGTAGCTAGGAGTGCTTTGCTCCCAGGCCTCCAGCAAAGGCTCAGGCACAGCTCTCGAAGAGCATGGACTTGGAGCCAGGCAGATTTGAGCTCAAAGCCGGCCTCAGTTGACTCATGCACACACAATCAGACTGAGCGAGAGGATGGATAAGGTGCCTGGCTCAGTGATAGGCCTTAATAACTGCTCTTATTTTAGCTACTGTTTATTGAGTGTTTTCCATGTGCCTGGCCTGACACTGATCCATTTACATGAGGAAACTGAGGCTTAGCGTGGTTGAACTTTCCCCCAAGATCCCACATAGCAAGAGGAGGAGTTGGATTTGACCTAGCACGCCACCCATAGCCAGTGCCTGCAGAGTTAAGAGGCACAGCATGTTTGAAAGCTCAGATTCTCAAGTCCCTCTTTGCAAGGCCCTGTTGGCATGCCGTACTGGCATTCCTGGACCACAGGCTCCACCAGCCTTCCCAGCCCTCCTTGTGTAGATGTGCAGACTCTGACTCAGGCCACCCTTCCAGACATCACCAGCCCTGCTTCTTCCACGAGCCTTTGGGTAGATTAGAGGAAGGGAAGAAATGTAGAGTCTGTGGGTGGGAAAGAACAGGCACAAGGGGCCCAGCCCAAGGTTATGAGCAAATAAATTACTCAAGTAATCCCATCACTTCCCAAGAGCCACCCAGCTTGAACTAACTGGTCGATAAAAGCATTATTGTGGCGCCATCTACTGCTCAATGTGTTTATTGCAACACATTTGTGGTAAAACCAGGTCTGGGTCTCTGAATGGGCTTTTCTGCCCTGGCTGGAGACCGGGCCAGCAGTGCCCTGTGACCTGTTACAGACACTCCTTTGGAGCCTTTTGCGAATATCAGGAAGTAGTTTTTTTCTAGTGGGGAAACAATGCTTGTCTGACATGGATTATAAAAGCCTGGCACCCCCAGCTTTCCCATGAAAAATGTATATCCCATCTCCCCTGTTGGGACCAATGGGGAGATGGGATATACTATTTTTTGGCCATGGCTTTTGTATCTTGGAGGACATTATTGTCTCATCAAAATGACCCCAGCCACCTCCTACAGACACACATGTAGATGCATCAAATACTATTTGAGCCACTATAAAATGAAACATTAAATATTACTTTGCCCCCTTTTTTAAATATACATTTTTATTGATTTCAGAGAGAAAGGAAGAGAGAGAGAGAGAGAGAAACATCAGTGATGAGAGAGAATCCTTGATTGTCTGCCTCCTGCATGCCCCCTGCTGGGGATTGAGCCTGCAACCTGGGCATGGAGCCTTGACCAAAATCGAACCGTGACCTTCTGGTTCATAGCTTGATGCTCAAGCACTGAGCCACGCTGGCCAGGCTACTTCGCCCTTTTTTGAACATATACTCTGCGCGACTTACTTAGTACAGTGAGGAGCTTAGAGATGGGGATAGAAAGTATCTCCTCTGAGCCCACAGAACACTGCACCTGGCAATAGGCTGTGAGCTCCTCCAGGCCAGACCTGAGCCCCACACATTCACAAACATGGGACTGAGGACCATCCCCTAAAAGACTCTCCCGGCCTTCAGCGAGCTCACGGTCTGTGGAAGAGTCGAGAAGTTGTGTGGTGCTGCATGGGCACGAGATTTGTCAGGGTGACCACTTCATACGTTATATAAATGCCTAATCACTATGTTGTGCACATGAGCCTAATATAATTGAATATCAACTGTGATTGGAAAAAAAATATTTTTAAAAAAGTAATTCAGTTAGTTGACCAAAGTATTACAGCAAAGGCCCAGGTCCAGCTGACCCCTGAGTCCAGCCCAAACCACCCAGGGCCTGCCCACAGTTCTCCTCCTGGGCCCACCCCAACCACCCAGGCCCTGCCCACAGCTCTCCTCCTGGGCCCACCCCAACCCAGACTCTGCCCACAGCTCCCCTCCTTGTCCCCCTAACTTCCCATGGCCTGCCCACAGCTCCCCAGAAGCACTCTCCTTTGTCTCCTAGCACCTCCTTTTGCCTTCCTAGCCCCCGTGGTGGGAGAGGAGGCGTTGGCTGTTGCATTGAGCAGGCGTAGGGCTTGTGGTCTGACCATTCTTGGCTCACTTGTCTATTGCAGCACTTACGTTGTGGCTTACTGTCTGTCCTGCTGAAACTTAAGTTCGGAGTCTTCCAGGAAAAGATGCTTTCACTTCTATCACATGTCAGCAGGTGGAGACAGACTGCTTGGTTAGATGAGCATTAGAGAAGGTCCGTGGTTTTCTAGATGTTTCGGCCGCTTTGCCTCGTCCCTGGCCTCTCCCTCCTCGGCTTGTCAATATAAAAGGAGAAACTAAATCACCAGTGAAAGAGAATGCCTTCGTTACATGACCAGGGAACCATGGGTCTCTGTTGGATGAAATTCCTTGTCTGTAACATTTGAGCTTTAAATTCTCTATAGATAATGTTTATAACATATTTAAACATACAGTTTCAACAAGTTTCCTGTCAGTCATTGGAAACCCCATTTCTCCCACTTCTCCTTGGATTGGCGTTTATTTTCCGTTCTTTAATTCGGGCGCCAACTCGGACTGTGCCACCATAGTTGTGGGCTTGTGGGCGGGTCACCCTTGGCTCACTTGTCTGTCTGTTGCAGCACTGACATTGTGGCTTACTGTCTACCTGCTGAGGCTCAGGTTTGGAGTCTCCGAGGAAAAGATGCTTTTACTTCTATTGCATTGCAGTTGGCCCTGAGAAACACTGGCAGGGGGGATGGCTGGATCCGGAGCCCAGTGAGAACTGGCTCTGTCTGTTCCATTACTGCAGGCTGGCCGGCTTGCAGTGGTAGAAGCAGGAACCGTTTCTACCATGGTATGGCTGAAGGTACTGACTTAGCAGCTTTTAACCAGAACGTGACAAAAGCCCACACCGTCACGTCTCCTCCACGCTGCGCAGTGTCAGCCCCAAAGCTCTCAGCATTCCTCCCCGGGCCTGTGCTCCCTGAGGTTACCCTTTCCCCTCCTTCCTTCCCACAGCGGTCCCCGCCTGAGTTCTCCCCCACCAGAGGAGATGCCCTACGGACCTGTTCTCTGGAGGCTGCGTCGAGGCAGCCGGGGAGCCTGGGCCATCAGCCCCGGGAGGAGCCTGAGTGGCCCAGCTTGAGGAGCCTGGACAGTCCAGACCAGGCAGGTGAGTGTTTGAAGCAGCATTTCGTTGGCCGGTGGGTGAGCAGTGTTGTTCGGAGGCTTCTGGCTGCCACGTGACTGCTTAGCTCTTCTCCTGCCATCTGAACAGCGTGTGCCCATTGTGGGCAGCCTGGGCAGTGTTCTGTGAGACCCGTGGGACAGTGCGGGGCTCCTGGACATGTGTGTGCAACTCTGTCCGCTGCCTGTAGAGTAGACGGAGACGAGGACTGGTCCCTGGCCCATGGACAGGGGGGAGGATGTCTCATACAGGCCAGGAACGCTAATCCAACCCAGCAGACGTGTGAGCGTTCAAAGGGATGTGGGCCCCGGTGTCTGGTTATAAGCGTGTCCTTTCTGAAGCCTGGCATATTTGTTAGGGTGACACTTGCTATGCCAAGGGAACCACACCTTTAGGTGGTTTGATGCCATAGTTTTAGTTCTCATTGGGCAGCCCTGCAGTGCAGTGTCCTGGCTGCAGGAGACTCAGAGACCCCTTGACCTTATGGCTCTGCCATCCCCTAGGGCCAGCAGGTGAAGGAAGAATGAAGAAGAGAGAATGGAGAAGTCAGTGCACCTGCTGTCTAACCACCTCAGCAGAGAAATGACACATGCACTACCTTCACTCCCATCCCATAGGCAAGGACGAGTCACATGGCTCCACCTTGATGCAGGGGATCCTGGGAAATGTAGTCCTGGCTGGGAAAATGCATGGCTCTGTCATGGAAGTGGGGGTGGATGACACATGATATTTCCCCCCTGCCACGCAGGAGGAGGGCACTGCTGTTCCCTCTTCCTGCTCTTTCTCCTGGAATGCCCCACCTCTGTACAGGGCAATTGAACTTCCCTCTGCAACATCCATCACACACACAGTCCTTTATTAAGCTGCCAAGTCATGTGACCCCTCCCAACCTTAGGGGCACAAATCAGCTGAGTCCCTTTCCCAGAGCCACACACACATCAGAAGGCTGCCAGCTGCTTGGATCACCCGGGGGGCAGCTGAGGGCCGGGAAGCCCCATGCCCAGGACAGGAAGGTCCCTTGGGCCCCAGAACTGTGGGATGAAGATGCTCACTCCACCCCACATAGGTCAGTTCCTTTCTCACCTAAATAGCATACCTGGGATGGAAGCTAGGAATGTTTGTCCCCACAAGAGGGAGCCATAGAGAGTACTTCCACCCCATATTATCCCCCCAATTCTCAACCTCTTTCCTCAACAGAAACAATAAATTAGCAGCAAAATACCCACCATGCTTTCAAGGATTGCGCAGTCCTTTGTACTCTGTCAGGGCAAAGACTTCAGTAACAGCTGTATAAGCCAATCCCCTTGTTATCACAGTGCAAAGAATGAGAAACATGAAGTATTTTTTAACAGTTATTCTGAAGACCTTCGAAAAGAAATCTTTTCCATGTTAACCTTTTAGGACCTGTCAGTAGAAATTGCAGAGACTCTGTGAGCACATGAAGTGTTCCTCAATCATTCATATTTTTTTCTTTCTCTCTCACCTTGGATGGAAAATTCTCACAGATAAGGGACTCTTAGGTTCCACAGGACTTACGAGAACATCATATAATAGATCTTCATTAAAGAATAATAAATAAGGAGCTTTTAAGAATCGCTTTACTAAGTACAACCAATGGACACAAAACTCTGGGGAGGGTGGGTATGTATGGGTGGGGGAGGCAATAGTAAAATATGTACACAGATAATAATTTAATTTAAAAAATTAAATTTAAATTTAAAAAAAAAAAAAAGAATCGCTTTACAAGGTACAGCGGCCATCTGCGGGCCCTATTTTATTGATTCCTTGTACGGCATTACTGAGCACTGCCATTATCCCTTGTGGACAGGGAGGGTGAGTGGCTTGTCCGGGACCCCACAGCTGGGAGCTCCCTGGCCCTCACATGCAAACGCCATGGCTCCAATCGCAGCCTTTTCAAATTGGCAGTGAGAGTCTCCCCACCTAAAAAATCAAACAAGCAGCAGTGACAAGAACAGCATCTCAGGATTCACACGTATACACTTGTACACTTATTATAAACCTTCTAACAGACACTCCAGCCCTAGCTGGTTTGGCTCAGTGAATAGAGCACGGCCTGCAGACAGAAGGGTCCCAGGTTCAATTCCGTTCAAGGGCACATGCCCAGTAGGGGGCATGCAGAAGGCATCTGGTCAGGGACTCTCTCTCATCATTGATGTTTCTGTCTCTCTTTCTCTCTTCCTCCCTCTCTGAAAGCAATAAAAAATATATTTTAAAAAATAAATAAAATAAAAGACATGCCACTTCACAAAACAGTTCCCTGCTGAATTACGAGCACTCCAAACACATTTGCAGAGGGCTTTGCTTTTCAAAACATGATTGTGTACGTAATATTCGGTAAAACAAGGCACCTACTTATAATTCATCTGTACATCTATGTATGCATAAAACTTAGTTCAACAATACCCCCCCCCCACACACACACACACATTTCACACTCGGCCCAAACATCCATGCATCCCTCAGGGTGAAGATGGAAAACGAAAAATAAATAATAAGTAAAGCGCTTGTGTAGAAAACCACTGGTTTTCCTGAGGAATGCTGGGCCCTTGGCGTGCTGAAATGTCCAGGCCAACCCCAGAGGTCCTGGCCGCTGTCTGATGTGTAGAGCAGGAAGCACATCACCCTGGGGGTGTGGCTCAGCTTTAGCGGAGCAGTGATGCAGAACAGAGGCGGCCTGGAGGTGGAGGTCATTGTAGAAGGTTCATGTCCACTGGGCTGTTGTCAGCAGCTCTGTTTATGCGTCAGGGGCAGGGTTGGCCCTGGAGCCTGTCAGTCCACAGCTGGGGTCAGTGCCGGGGGCACTGGGGGCTGAGTGAATCACAGCAACTCTGCCTCAGTCCTGACAGCACTCATAGCAGCTCCTGGATCCCCCCAAACACACACATTCACTCAGAGACCTTGACCGAGCATCTCCCGTACACACAGCTGGGACGTGAAGATCCAGGATGGTCCTTGCCCCCAGTTGCTCGCTGGCTGCTGTCAGCACAACCAGGAAAGGGTGAGAATTTGGACAGAGGGGGGAGTGGCGAGGAGCAGGGACCCAGAGGATGTCCCCGGTGGACAAAGAGAACGTGGTCTTGGCGCCCAGGTGCAGCGTAGAGCAGTTCCCATGAGGCAGCTTGACAACCAAGGTTCTCATAGGGTTGAGTGTTCACGGAGACGTCTGTTCTCTTTTTGAGAAAGAAGTTGGCCAACTTGTGGCTTCCCCAGCGGAACATGGCATCCTGGGATTGCCAAAGGCAGGGGAGAGAGGAGCTGGCACCGGGCTGCCTCCAGGCCATCTGTCAAGGCTGTTGTGAGTGAGGTCTGTACAACTGCTGAGGGCCAGGTGTGCTAACCTGTGAGGGCGATAGGCAGGTGATGGAGTCATCTCCCATCCAATGAGGAAAAGGAGGATCTAAGAGACAAAACCATGGCCAAAATCAAAGAGCCAGGCCCTGAGGCTGCCAGCAGCAGCCTTCCCCTCTCCCTGTCTCTGCCAAGGCCAGCGAGGGCAGGAGTGGGGCGACTCTTGGAGACAGAGGGGACCATCTACCCAGGTGGACGTGGAATAGGAGTCAGATCTCTGAGTTTCTCTTTATCTGTGTGGCCCTGGGGCCCTGGGAGGCCTCCGGGGACTTCGTGGGGACCTTTAAACGTGTCCCCATTTAGGTGTGCCCCAGGGAGCGGCTGCTCCCCGAGACCCCAGGAGCCAGTCATGGGGCAGTGGCAGGTGGCAACCTCGCCTGCTCTAAGCTGATAACAGCCTCCCTGGTCTCTCTCTCCCTCCTGCCTGCAGACCCGGCCCCCGTTTTGCAGAGCCCTGACGGGAACTGGGTGGCCCTGAAGGACGGCACTCTGCCCCCCGCCCGCCTGCTGGCCAAACCTAAGGGTGGCGCCTTCCAGGCCCTGGAGGCTGCCTCCAGCGTAGCCTCCGCCTACGATGAGATGGGCTCCGACAGCGAGGAGGACTTCGACTGGAGTGAGGCCTTGAGCACGCTGTGCCCACGGCCCCAGGATCTGCCCAGGAACCCCCGGCCTCCGCCCACACAGGCCCAAGGCTTGGACCAAGCCACCTCTGCTCCCTCCAGGCTCTCCCCGCACCTCGAGGCCACGTGCTCCGACTCAGAGACTTCCTCCACGGGCTCATCCCGGGACACCGGGCACCGTCGGGCCAGGCTGTCCTGGCTGCAGAGGAAGGCTCCTAGGACCCCCTCGGCTGACAAGATGCACCTTCAGGGGGAGCTGGACGTGAACTTCAATCCCCAGACAGCCAGCAGGGAGACCTCGGACAGCAGCGAGCCTGAGGAGGCCCCCCACACGCCAGACCGGCGGGCCCGGAGGTGGAGAAGGGCCCGCGTGGGCTCAGAGGAGCCAAGCAAGGAGCCATCTTCCCCCAACACCCCTACCCAGGAGCTGAGCGCCCACCAGGTAATAAACTAGGTGCGTGCAAGCACGCGCACACTTTCCGGGAGAATGTGCTCTCCCTCAAGCACGGGTGGCATAGAGAGTCCGGGTTAGGAATTCAGACCCAGATTCTCATCATGGTGTTTGCTGCTGAGTAGCTAAGTGACATAGACAGGTCACGTCCACTCTCTGGCATTCCACGGCCCCCTCGGAGATGAGAGCTTAGAGTTCAAGGTGGGTTTGCAAGATGTGGCCCCAGACCACCAGCATCGGGGAACTTGTTGGAAATGCAGGTTCACAGGCCCAATCCCAGTCCTGCTGGATCCAGCCATCTCTGTGGCCATGAAGTCCCCTGATAACCCTGTGCATTCAAATGTGAGGGCCACCGGCGTAGAAGGAAGGGCCTAGAGTCTAGAGTCAGTCTTCCTGGTTCAAGTCCAGCTGTATGACTTGGACAAAGCATCCCTCTAGCCCTCAACTTTCCCATCTGTAAATGGAGCTAATATTAGAACCCACTTCAAAGAAGGGTTGAGGGAAGTGACTGTCATAGAATTTGGCATCAGTCCTACCTGACCTGTGAGTATAGTGCCTAGAAAAAGGCCCTTATTTGGCGTAAGCTCTCATTTTCTCTGTAAAGCAAGACCACTAAAAGTTGATCTCGCGGTTGTTGTGCCGATAGAGTAAATATAAAGTTCTGTGCAGCTGGGAATCATTATTATCTAGCAAGGGCAGACTGCTTTCCTAAAACTGTAACTTCCCTCAGGAATATTCTTGAGGGTCGTCTGAACACGTGCAGGTATGAAATGCCACATGAGCACCATAAGCAGGTGCCTGGAGCTTTCTATTTATTCTGAAGTGGCTTGGAGGTTCTTTTGGTATTCATCTTTGCAAGGCGTCACTAGAGAGAAGGCAAGCGCCTGGAGAAAGGTGCTGGGACCAGTATTGTGTCTACCTCCCCTGGCAGTGTCCTCTCCTTTCCACTAGGTGGCGATGGCGTTGCACTTCCGGGCACTTCAAAACTCTTGTCTCCGGATCCTCCCTTCTCTTTAGTTTACTAGTAGTTCTCATGTATATAAAAGTAGGCAGTTAAATAAATATATATATGCATACTTTTAAAATATAAATTTCAAAACACAGATATCGTCACCCTTTACCACAATCTTCCCCCAAATGACTACCATTGTATTTGTGCATTTATACGCATATAGTACATCTAGAAATATAGTTCTGTGAATGCATCTGTGTGTTTTAGCAAAACCAGCATCTTTCTATCCATATTCTTCTTCCTCTTTTTCTTAACAGTAAGTTATAGGGATGTCAGCACACACAGAACTGTTGCTCGTCGGACCTGCAAAAGATTGCATCATGTGGTCCCTGGGAATGTGGGAGTGGGAGCAATCCATCGGGGTGCAAGCAGTGAGGGTGCACTGCCTGTAGGGAGTTTATAAACACAAATAAACCTAACAAAAGTCAGTCTCTTTCGTATAGCTCTGAGCATGCATGGAGAAGGCTAAGCAATGCTAGTGATGGAAGACTTCCCCACAGGGGCAGGCTGCTCCTAGCATCCACCCAACCCCCTGGGCTCTCCACTCTCCATGGTGGGGAGGGACCAGCCATCCATTTCCCAGAAAGGTGGATATTCAAGACTTTTCAGAGGTTGGTGTTATAAACAACGCTGCATAGAATATCACTGTGCAAGGCTCTTTATACAAGTACAGGAAATATAATTGCTGACTTAAGATATATGGAGCTTTCATTTTAATGAGTACTTGCCAAATCAAGTTCCCAAAACCTCATAGCAATTCACGCAGCCAAGCACTGTTTGAGTATGTTTGTCCACAATACTTGGTGCTGTCAGTCTGTGAAACTGTCACCAACTTAAGTGAGGGGGGAAATGCATTTCTTTTCAGTTAACATTTTCATAGTTACAACTGAGGTTGAACATTTTTTGCAATATTTAAAGCTATTTGCATTTTTTTCTTCTGTGAAAGACACACTTATCTCCTTCTATTATTTTATTGGACCACTTGCCTTTTTCTTACTGATTTTTCTGAATGAGTATTATTTGGTGATTATATTGTACATTTTAGTTTTTTGACGGTTACACATTGAAAATATTCTCCCCTTGTTTATCACTTTTGCCTTAACTTCATTTTGCATGCAAAAGTTTTTGTTGCTAATAATTTGTCTATCATTTTTCTTAATAATAATTTATCAATTATTAGAGGCCCAGTGTATGAAATTTGTGCAAGGGGCTGGGCCCTCGCAGCCGTGGTGACTGCCTCGGCCCTCAAAAACCTGGCTTCGTGAACTGTCTACTCTAATGAGCATATTTGGCTGTCTACTCTAATGAGCATATTACGCTTTTATTATTATAGATTTATTTTTTTATTTTGTACCTTTTATTATTATAGATTTTTTTTTATTTTGTACCTTGTTTAAGAAAGCTTTTTAGAAGACATTTTATTTATTTTTTAATCCTCACCCAGGGATATGTTTTCATTGATTTGAGAAAGAGAAAGAGAAACACCAATGTGAGAAAGAACTATGAATTGGTTGTCTCCCATATGCACCCTGATTGGGGACCAAACCCGCAATCTAGGTATGTGCCCTGGATGAGAATCCAATCTGCAACCTTTTTAAAAATTATTATTATTATTTTAAATAGCAGGTTGTCAAGGTTTCTTTCTTTTTTTAAAAATGCTTTATATTGATTTTCATAGAGAGAAAGGGAGAGGGAAAGAGAGATAGAAATATCAATGATGAAAGAATCTTCCATCAGCTCCCTCCTGCATGCCTAGCACAGAGGATCGAGCCCACAACCCCAGGATTGTACCCCAAGCAGGAATCGAACTGTGATCTCCTGGTTCATAGGTCAACTCTCAACCACTGAGCCACACTGACCAGGCCAGCCCTTAACCTTTTGTTCTAACCAACTGAGCCACCAGGCCAGAACTGTCACAAAACAGGACGGTCCAGATTCTGGTTGCAAATGTGTGTGATGGAGCTCTTCCTGTCGAATGACTAACTAAGTGAAAATATACTTTCTTGTCCTCATGAATACAGTGTTTGCTCATGGATTCTTGAGTTTCAGATAAGTCACCTAGGACCCTTCCACATGAAGACTCTTGGCCTAAGATTTTACTCATGCAGTCAACCTCACCATCATTGTTAGAGTCTGGAGAGCTGTGTTCCTCTGCCAATTCATCTTCTGAGTCACCTAATAATTGTGAAGCATTGTTCTCTGTCCATTTCTTCTCTTTGTCATTATGAAATTTTGAATTCTCAACTGTATGCAGTGAGCTAAAAACAGACTCAAAATGGTGATGATTTATTTCATTATTGAATCATTCTTCGAGGCAATTCTTTTCTTCCGTATTATTATCTCAGTCTCCTGGCATAATTGGGAATAACTGATGAGTAATCATGAAAAATATCTCTCAGGGTGGTAAAACAGCAAAATATTTCAAAAGATGGAAAAAATTAGATCATGAAGATCCCGTCATGAACCTTAGAGTTACAAAAGGGCCCAGTCAACCCAAGAAAGAAGGTAGAATGTTTTATTTTATTAAAAATACTGGCGCACAAAATTTGTACACGGGGTTGTGTGTGTCCCTCAGCCCACCCTGCACCCTCTCCAGTCTGGGACCCCTCAAGGGATGTCTGACTCCCCCTTTAGGCCTGGGAGTGGGCCTAAATGGACAGTCAGACATCCATCTCATAATCCAAGACTGCTGGTTTCCAACCACTCGCCTGCCTGCCTGCCTGATTGCCCCTAACTGCTTCTGCCTGCCAGCCTGATCACCCCTAACTGTCTTCCCTGTAGGCCTGGTCACCCCCAACTGCCCTTCTCTGCCAGCCTGGTCATCCCTAACTGCCCTCCCCTGTAGGCCTGGTTGCCCACATCTGCCATCCCTGTTGGCCATCTTGTGGCTGCCATCTTGAGTCCACAGAGGGGTGGACATCTTTGACCACATGGAGCGGCCATTTTGTGTGTTGAAGTGATGGTCAATTTGCATATTACCTCTTTATTATATAGGATAATTAAATTTGCTATTTATTCTTTGGAAGCCATTCACAAAATAATACAAGTCATGCGATATCAAGCCTTATAGATTGAACAACTCAACGAGGAAACTCAAACACTAAAATTGAGTCTAATAGACCCTGATGGTGTGCTGAGGGTTAGCTTAACATTCCATATACATATGTCCACATGAAGGCCAAGAATAAGTGAGAGGCACAGCCTCCATGTGCTCCTATAGTTCCCAAGGCCTTGTCAGGGACTTGCTCATAGAGAAGCTAGGAGATGTTCATCAAGTGGAGAGTAGGCGCCAGTCACTAAGCTAGAACTGTAATTATCTAGGGAATTCCTTATAGATGTTCAAGGACCTTGTTCCATCTCAAAATCTTTGCCTAGAATCCTGCTCTTCCCTCTCTGCCTTTTAGCTGGGTAGCTGCTATACTTTGATTTTCAACTCAGACATTGATTCCACAAGGAAAGCTTTTGCCTAATCCCCAGTGTCTCCCAGCAAATGCCCCTTAGTGGCTGTCAGAGCATCCCTCCCCACCCACTTCTCTGCACGCGCCATCATGACGGTTAGCATGGAAGGTTTGACTATGCCTCCTTCTCTAGGGGTGGGCCAGATTTGCTCAGCATTGCCTTATCAGCTCCAGCACAGTACTGCCCAGGCTGGGCGCTCAGCAAGTATTTGTGCCTAAAAAATCCTGATGGATTCCAACGTGTTTCTGAGGGCAGATGCTCACCTGTCCAAATCCTTTAACAAAGTGTTTGAGACAGATGCATGTGTTTGAGAAAATAAAAGTGAAAAGTAAAAGCCCATCTGTCGAGAAAGCAGACCAGGTCAGAGAACTGTCACTTTCCTTCATGGATACCATTGGGGACAAACCATGTGACTGTAAGAGAGGAGTCCTCAGCTCACGATTCCGGTTTTCATTCAGGTGTTGGGTGACTTATCAGAGATTGACCTCGGCAATGAGATCCCGCACCCCCGGACCACGGAGGAGAAAGTGAGAAACAAGTTGTTCGAGTTGGCGATGAAAATGAGCGAGAAGGAGACTTCTTCAGGGGAGGATCAGGAGTCCGAGCCCAAGACGGAGTCCGAGAATCAGAAAGAAAGTCTGTCCTCTGAAGACAACAGCCAGAGCATCCAGGAAGAGCTGAAGAAGGTAAGGGCTCGGTGTCTGCAGCCGGGTCTGGGGAAAGGTCCTGTATTTGCACAGAGATGGGTGGGGTCCTCAAAGAGCTCCCTCTAAAATGGGCCTCCCCGTGCTCTTAGAGAAGCCCAGGGGAGCCCTCCGTGATGAGCTCTGAGCAATTCAGTCAGGAACCCAGTGTTGTGTTTTACTGAAGGCTCCCAAACCTCTCAACTCACGAACTATCCTTCATCGGCACAGCCCTTCGAGCTCAAGTCTGTAGTTTTGTGCTGTGATCTCTCTCCCGGGTGGGGAGCAGGGCTAACCCCACCTCACCCTGGGGAATTCTGTCTGTGGTTTGGGATCATCTACCCATCCCTCTTTCAGCCAGTAATGAAGCTCCACGCGTGGTCTTCGTGTTAAAGTGGCCTTCTAGACCATTTACCGCTGCGCTTTGCAGAACTGTGTTTGTTTGTCTGAGCCTCAGAATCCATATGTGAAACTCCAAAGTTTTAAACAGGTTAAAAGCACTGCTACCCCAGGGTTCCCAGAGCCCCAAACACCTCCTCCCGCTCCCCCACCCCCACCCGCCAGCCAGCGACCCAAGCAACGTTGTTTGACAACCACCAGAGGAAAGGGATCCCAGACTCCCCAACTCTGGTCAGTGCTCTGCCCCCTCCTCCTCCATGTGCCTGGGCTCCCTCAGCAGCTTCTTCCAGTACTTTCACACTGAACTTGGCCACGTCAGTGTCAGGAAACCCCTGATACCTCCAGTGGAGGGGAAAGAGGCCAGCACTTGACTGTGGCCTCTGTTTACTTCATTTAGTAAAAACTCTTGGAAGTAGATACTCAGGAAGGCACTTCCCCCAACCCACATCTAGCAGGTTTCAGAGCTGGGGCTGCATCACACACCTGCTTGGCCTCACATTTCCAGCTCTTTCCTTCACAACGAGCTGCCTCATCTGTAACTCAAGAGAAGCTCTTGCCTGGAAACTTCTAGATTTCTTTGCATGTGTGATCAGTCTCTTTCTGTTTTGAGAATATGCCATCTGCACCAGCAGGTTACTGGTCACCCACGTGCATGGGTGAATGAGCCCCCTTCGTCTGCTCAGCGGTCAAAGTGAGGTACCAGGAGGAGCCAGGCCAAGCTTCTGTAGAGAGCTTTATCCAGATGCCACTGGTCCTCCTGTCTCCACCCCTGCTCTCTGAGAGCCAAGCAGAGGGATGTGCACTTCCCCACAGACACAGTGTCACCAGTAGCAGCTCAGTGTTCTCAGTGGAAACCCAGCTAGGAATTAAGGCTTCAGATTCCTGTCCAGCAGCAGAAGCAGAGCCATTTCATAAACGCATTTTCTCCTGATTGGACTCAGCCCTTTGCTGTGAGCAGACTTGGCCTTGGAGGCAGCTCACTCTGGCTGGCCGTTGGGAGCCCAGTGATGATTCAAGGCTAGTCATTGATGCCTGCATTTTAACTCGCTGAAGAATGAGCTTCTGGAGCTTGGGGCCCATCCAGAAGCCTCCCAAGAACTGGGTCCCCAAAGGATCATGTTCTTTCTGTAAGTCAGCTTGTTCCACGAAGCCTCAGGAGTCAGCCTTCCAAACCAGCGGGTCCTCAGAGCCCAGAAGTAAGCAAGCTCTTGTTTCTCCTCTACCGCCAGGCAGGTAGCCCTGCCAGTGGTTCCAAAACCGAGTCCTGGCTGCATTGGTTCTTAGAACCATTTGCCTCTAGGTGTGTAGGTGCTGTGTTCCTGAAAGAGGGGCGCAGAGGTGGGCCAAGTACTCCCGGCTTGAGCTTGGAGACCACATTCGGGGGCTCAATATCCCACAACCACCTGCCAGTCCACACCCCCCTCCTCGCCCCCCCAATCTTCCTAGGCATGGAACAGCGATCCCCAAGTGCCCTTCTGGCTTCAAAATCCCACGTAGTGGATTAAGTAGGTTTCTGTTTCCAGACTTAAATATCATTTGTGACACTATTTATGGCAAATGATGTCCTGTGTGTCAAATCTTTAGAACATGAATGTTTGTTGAGGGTTTGCGTTAGTAGATTTTTGCATTATCGCCAAATTTTTACATCCAGTATCCTGAAAACATTTCTATTTAAAGTGTCTTTGTTTGTCAGTTCTTATCACAACTGGCTGAGTCATTGTACTTTATTTTCACAAAGACGTCACAGACTGGCTGATAGCTCCCATATTTACAGTTTCAGGAAGTAATACTAAGACTTCTCCAAACTAACCAATGTCACTCTTCACCTTCTCATGGCTGCTCCCCTCTAACTAACATCAAGTCACAGAGAAACACAGTGCTGCTCAGTGGTCGGGGAGGCAGGCTTATTGATGCTGTCTGAGAAAACGCAGAGCCTTGGGCTTCTGAAGCTTCGTGTGCTTGTGGCCAACTTTTGTTGACATCTCAGTGTTGGCATAAAACCAAGTATGGTCTGCGTGTAGTTCACCCTTGTCAAATAACTCCCCCTCCACAAGAGGACTGGCTGTCCTTCCTCTCGGGTAGCTTTTTATTTCGGAAGAGCGACTTGATCTTTAGTTGGTGCTGAAGTGAATATGGTGTTAGATACTAACTTGTAGCTTACAGACTCTGCTGGCCTCAGTAGGCCATGTGTCTATGGAGGAAGTCATATCTCTTTTCTAACTCTCTATTTAACGGTTCCCCTAGGGCAGTGGTTGGCAAACTCATTAGTCCACAGAGCCAAATATCAACAGTACGATTGAAATTTCTTTTGAGAGCCACATTTTTTAAACTTAAACTTCTTCTAACGCCATTTTTTCAAAACAGATTCATCAAATGTTCTTAGTACTAGTTAATTCCATACTAGTTAAACTGTTCTTTAGCATTAAAAAATCGAAAGTATCCAAGTTCATTTTATTTATTTTAAATCTTGGTCTGAATCTGTCCCAAAAGTCAGATATCACTAAAAAATTACATACAAACACACTGGTTAATAAAGATTCAAAAATCCTCAATATGTTAGCAAATGTTTCCAACTACATAATAAAATAATAATTTACAGTGGCCATGTAGGATTTATTCTAGGAATATCAATAACATCAATTTTATGAAACATTAATATTTCCCATTATATTTACAAGAAAAAGGGGAAAAACATGATTATGTTGTTAAATTCCTTGAGTGCTGTTTGACATAAAGTAGAAAATTCTAAGCCATAGCTGTTAAAGAATGAATGAATTCTAAGCCATAGCTGATAAAGTTAAGCAACCATTTCTGATAAAAAGGAAGATGGTAACTCGACAGCAATGGCTTTTAACCTTTTGAGGATTGCAGATCTCTTTAGGTATTTCTAAAAGTTACCGTGTTTCCCCGAAAATAAGACATCCTCTGAAAATAAGACCTACTTACAGGTTTCCTTCTGAGTGAAATATAAGGCATCCCACCGAAAATAAGGCCCCCCTAGACTAAACATGAGAGATTTGGTCCACTGATTCTGAAAGAAATGGAGTCACAAGAAATTCACCAGGAAATTCAGAAATTGGATTGTTATGATAATGTTCCAGAAGATGATGACATGATTGTCATTGAATAAATGAGTAAATTCTTGATACTATAGAATTCACAGTTTGTCTGGTTTGTGTTGACAACTACCGTACTACTGTACCGTATACAGGTAATAAATTTCCTTTATTTTCATTTAACAATAAATGTGTACCATATTCTTCTTCATGGAAAAATAAAACATCCCCTGAAAATAAGACCTAGCGCATCTTTGGGAGCAAAAATTAATATAAGACACTGTCTTATTTTCGGGGAAACAGGGTAGTACTCCTCTCTCCATAAGAGTGTAAAGAATGACAGTGACCCATATATACTCCCAGGAGGAATCTCGGCCACTCTTGCATCAGATAAGAGGCCTATATATCTTGATCATGGCTGTGGATCTTGGAGTGGCCTGTGAACCAACTCTAGCTCCTCTTGGCCATGGCCCTGTAATCCCTGGAGAACATGAAATTAAACAGTAAACCAATGGACAAGAGCGCCTTTGTGGGAGTCCAGGAGTCCATTGGAGAAGTTCCAGAATAGCAATGATGATGGAAAATCAGCAGTTCGCAAAGACAAGAGAGGGGAAAAAAGAACAAGAGAACATCAAAACATCCAGAAAACAATAAGATGGCTTTATAAAGTCCTTATCTATCAATAATCACTCTAAATGTAAATGGGTTAAATTCTCCAATCAAAAGATATTGAGTAGTTGAATGGATATGTATATAAAAAAAGAAGACCCAACTATATGCCTATAATAGACTTATTTCAGCTTCAAGGACACACATAGGCTCAAAGTGAAGGGATGGAAAAAGTTATTTTATGCAAGTGAAAATCAAAAGAGAGCATGAGTGATAAAGGGGCCAATTCATCAATCATAACAATCATAAACATATATACCCAACATCAGAGCACCTGAATATACTAAGCAAACACTTAAGGATCTAAAGGGAGAAATAGACAACAATACAATAATAGTACAGGACTTCAATATTTTCAACAGATCATTCAGACAGGAAAGCACTAAGGAGATGCTGGACTTAAACTATACATCAAATGAACCCAACAGGCACAAACAGAACATTCCATGCAACAACAGCAGAGTACTTCCTTCTCCAGCACACACAAAACATTCTTTAAGAGAGAGCATATGTTAGGATACAAAACAGTTCTTACTGAATTTAAGAAGATTGATGTCGTACCAAATATCTTTTCCAAACATTATGTTATGAAAGGAGAAATTAATAACACGAGGAAAATTGGAATAATCACAAATATGTGGAAGTTAAACAGCACACTCCTGAACAGCCAGTGGGTCAAAGAAGAAATCATTGGTAACTTGGTTACTCAAAGCCATCAAAGTCTACATACCCTTTGATCCAGCAATCATACTTTCCTTCATTTATCCTAAAGGAGAGCAATTGGGTAAGCAGCCAAGGGTATCACAGTACAGTTCATCAAGCATTGTTTTTGTATTGTAGGAAAAGATTAAAACACCCTAATTGTCCAGCCATAAGGGAATCTTGGGGAAAAGGAAGGGATGAGGTCCAGAAAACATCGGAATAGCAAAGACAGATTGGTCCAGATACTAGCAAGTAGGGAGATTTGATGTCAAGAAGTTGAAGAGGTTTTCTTTTATGTTGTGGGTTTTTTTTTTCCCTCCTCTCTCTAGCTCTCTGACTAGAAGGTGGGTTTTTCTTCTGAAAGTGAGGGGATAAGGGCATTGGAGTTTCAGGATTGTGGAGAGGGTTTGAAATAGCTATAGAATGGAAGAGAAAATAATGTGGACAGAAAGGATTCGCAGGCAGCAATAAAGACCTGGATAAATCAGAGGTCAGGGACATTTGCCTGAGATATATATAGAGTTTGTAAGAGAATTCCTCAATCTTGCAAATAAATGCAAAATTAAAACCCATTCTATTCTAAGAGAAGGTCTGTTAGCAGCCGGTCTGCTCATAGATCCACATCACTCAGCATAATTACACAATACAGCTCAAATGATTCTGGGATTCAAGCTAGAACTCCCTATGTCAGGAGTTTTTAGTTTAGCCATTAATGTGCCATCAACTAAATTGCAGATAAATCTCAATCCCGGTGAGGGGAAGTGGAAGGGTAAAATGGAAATTAATTCCACCCATAATAGAAGCAAAGAATGTGAAATGAAGATTTAGCAAGAAAACTACAGATCTCCAAATCTAGCAGTTTGCTAGTAGGGAAAGTAGCGTAAAGATGAATTCTTCCAGAGTTAAGGCAGAATTTTTAAAAATATATATTTTATTGATTTTTTTACAGAGAGGAAGGGAGAGGGATAGAGAGTTAGAAACATTGATGAGAGAGAATCATCGATCAGCTGCCTCTTACACACCCCCTACTGGGGATGTGCCCACAACCAAGGTACATGCCCTTGACCAGAATCAAACCTGGGACCTTTCAATCTGCAGATGGACGCTCTATCCACTGAGCCAAACCGGTTTCGGCGCGGACAATTCTTTGGGGTTGAAGTACTTCTGCTCCATTGATGACCTTGGCCCAGATCTGGAGCCATGAATGAATGTAAAAGCTAGAAGCAGCTGTGTCTGTTAGGAATATGTTCAGCCATAAATAACAGAAAATGTGGCCAAGAGTGACTTCAACAGATAGGAAATTCTTTTTCTCCTGTAACAAAGATGTTTAGGAGCAGGTAGTGACGGATAGTGCTATCTGGGCTTCACAGTCTTTCTGATCCACCTTACTCAGCATGTTGGTATTTATCCTCACCTTTCTCATAACTGCACATCTGTGATCAAGGTAGAAGTAGGGAAGGAGAGCATCAGCTGCATCTATTCACCTATTAGAAAAAAAGAAGCTTTTCTAGAAACCTCCTCAGTAGGCTTTTCCTTCAGGCTCATTGGTCAAAATTATGTCACATGATTGCCCCTAGCTGCAAGGGAGGCTGAGAAATGAAGTATTTTTCTATGCAGCCTCTATGCTGGAGGAGAGCCAGGAAGAATGGACCAGAAAATAGGCTAGCAAGACCCTGCAGAAGAACTCTTTCCAACTCTTTTTCCAATACGTTCATTGTACAGATGACCAAACTGAGCTTCAGAAATGGGATATAACTTGGCCAAGGTCCTGTAACAAGATGAACTTAAAGCCAGATCTAGAGCTCAGGTCTCCTAACTCCCTGTCCAGAAAGCTGCCCACTGGACCACACCGTGGTTGTATTTGACAGAGGCTGTGACTGAAGCTCTGTGGAGGAAGCAGAATATCATCCAGAAAGTGAGGTGATGGATATAAAATTCTCAGCAATGGGCAGAAGACATGTAGCTTCCTCTTGAGCTTTCCTTCTTCCCTTGCTAGGACTCTGAGATAATTCAGCGTGAGCCTCAAAAGCCAGGCCACCTCAAATCAGGCCTCCTCTGAGCCCCAGCTGCTGTGTAGATTGCTTAGCTTCTCGTTCCTTTGGCGCGTTAAAGTTTGTGTCTGTTACAGTGGAAGCAATCTCATGATGAGCGCCATGATAGTGGAGAATTTCCACGTTGTTGTTAATGTGCTGTTCTTGTCTTCTGTCTCCTTCCGTTGTTGGCCCAAACAGAAGTATTCTGCTGTTTCTCTCTGCAACATCTCCACAGAAGTCCTGAAAGTCATCAATGCCACGGAGGAGTTGATAGCAGAGTCCACAGGGCCCTGGGAGTTCCCACCTGGCCCTCCTGACAGAGAGAAGGGGACATTTCCTCTCGGGACAGACCAAGTGAGACTGGATGAGCAGCTGACCTCGCTGGAAGAAAACGTAAGATGGTGTGGATGAGCCTTGTCTGCGGCAAGCATGTGTGAAGCAGCGGTTGGTGGAGTTATAACTCGTCTCACACACACACACTACCATCACCAGAGCAAATCCATTCTCAGGAAGGGTCTTGGGCTGGCGTCCTGAGATGAGAAGGTGCCTACAAGTGATTTGGTAGGGAAGTGCTTCCAGGATGGCTAGTAAGGGAGTGAGGAAAGAAAGGGAGAGGGAAGAAGCCAAATGAAGAAGGTATGATCTTACACCAAGAGTAGCTTCCATCTGCTCCTGCAGGGAACTCAGGTGGAGGTTGCCTCTCAGAGTTGTTTGACCTACGACAAAGGAGCGGGCCCTTCATTCTCTTTGCTTGCAGCAAGGTCTACAGTAGCCCAAGGGCAGTCTTGAGTGTAGACTTGAGCTATTGGGAACAAAAGCGCACTGACGGGGAGCTCACAGGCAGGGCCCTGTCCGGCTCCCCTGCCCAGCTCCTCGAGGCTGCCTCTCCTGTCCCCAGAGAGTTAACCGCCTTCCTCCTCCTTCCTCTTCCCTTTCCCCGCTCCAGCTGCCAGCTTCACCTCAGAAGCAACTCTGTCTGCGTGCCTTTGAATGTGAGGGGGTTTGAGTCCAAGAAGGGACGGCTTTTCTTTCTCTCTTCAGTTCACCCGGCCACAGCGCCAGCACAGGCTGCCCAGCTCTGCGGGTTCCAGATGGGATGCATCGGAGCAGCAGGCGAGGGCAGGGCTGCTGCTCAGCTGGCCTCGGGGTGCAGCTGATCTCATTAAGCAAGACCTTTTGTCTGGCTCGTTCCTTCGCGCCTTTCCCCTTTGTGCCCAGGAACCGGGGACTGTCAGAAATAGACACGGCGACACCTATGCTCGCCTTCTGAACATCGGCCGCCACAGACCAGGACTCCTAGATGAAAGAGATGGCTGGCTTAAGAATGTTTCGCCTTTAAAAATATCTCTGAAGACTTCAGAGCTGTCTGAGATAAAAATGTCACATTCAGATGTCAAATCTCCCGTTTTTCATAAACTGCCTCGTTCATCCACTTAATTAGAGGGAGGCATGGGGATTTCAGAATCCCCTTCATTTCCTGGCTCTGACACTTCTCACCTGCTGTTGGAGCCAGCCCTGTGAGATCGGCCCTTTCTCCCCAAAAGGCAGGAGGAACCTGGGCCAACCCCAGCCTCCCCTGCACACACAGTGTGCCTTCGGTTTCTTGGGCTGAATGCCTGGGTCTCTCAATGCCCTTGCTGAGAGCTGTGAAGTATAGGGCTCTATCGTACCTGTTGGGGTCTGGCTGGAAGAGGAGAGTTTCAGGAAAGGATGAGTAACTGGGGTGTGGTCAGGGTTAAGGGGTGCTGTAGCATCCAGAGAGTAGCCATAAGAGGAAGCCCACACCAACCCTAAACAGTGTAGCCCAGGGAGAACTGGAATCTGGAAGAGCGCCCCCTAGTGGAAGCTGTCAGCATGGGACCCAGGCAAGGAGAGAGCCCAGGAAGGCTCTAACTTCTGTCTCCTCCTGCCTTGGATATCTTGCTGGTGTCTCCCCTTGGCCAAACCCATCCCAGTCAGCAAGGAAGCCCTTGGTGATGAAGTTCATGTAGACCAGCCCTATATAACACAAATCGGGGCAGAGAGATGGAAAATGTATCTGGGGATCAATAGAGAACCACTAGCATGACCATTCCTGGGCCTATGGTGTAAACACCAGGGACCAACAAGGGCCACCTTGTGAGTGGGAGGGACCAGTCGGCTCCCTCATCCTCCCATCCCCATCTGAGCACCTTTCTTATTCTTGTCTTTGCTAAATGGCAGAGACAGCCTGAGGCGCCCCGTCATTCCCAGCCACAGAGGCAGTGCAGGGACCATCCAAACTTCCCTTTTAGCTCTGTTCTGTAACTCTCAGCAACCCCGAGCATGTTAGCAATGCAGCCTACAACCAGTGGCAATTGCCCCACCCGGACGCAGCTCTGCCCCAGAATCCAGAACCAGACAAAGGATGTTGCCCTCCTCTGGTAAACCCCATAGCACGGGAGAGCATGTAGCACTTTGCTTCTCAGATGGTTCTCTGACCTCAGAGAGCAAGGAAAGAAAGACTGTCCCTCAGTGTCTTACATCCCCTACAGAAGGTTTCCTGGAAGCCAAACCCAACAAGATGCTCTAAGATCAAATAAGTTTGAGAAACCGGTATACTCTTTCTAGGAAAACTGAGATGCATGTTAGTACATGAAAGACCGAGACGTCCTTCAGTAAAGAAATCTGCTTAATTCTCTTTATTCCAGGGGCTTTGACCACAAAGTCCTTTTTTTTTTTTTTTTTTTTTTTTTTTTTTTTTAATGAAACATCTATTCTCATCCCTTGAGCCGTGTTGAGAAAGACTTGCTGAGCCAGGAGCCAGTCAGTGGGGTCACTGTCATCCGAGATGAGGGTGTGGAGAGGACAGACTACTCAGACATGGTAACCATAGCTTTCACCAAAAAATAGGCCTTTATTAAGCAAGCAATTCCGGGTTAATGTTTTTCAGTGGGTTATTTTTTAAGGTTGGAATAACGTTTTCATTATATTATAACGTGCTCAATGTTATTTCAGCCCTGCAACAGAGCCAATGTCGTGTCCACCTCTGACCACATTAATTCTAGTACCTGTATGTCGAAGTTTGAAATGTCAAAGTCATAGCATTACAAACAAGATGATCCCAGCATCACAGGGCAGGGTGGATTAAGGCATGGGCTCCACCGCTTCCCAGCTAGGAGACCTGAGAAAGTTCCTGAGCGTCAAGGACACAATGTTCTCACCTCTCATGCAGTGATGGTACTAGAACCCCCCTCCAGGGTTCATGCCATGGGCATTAAATAAGTCGCACAAAGCCCTTGGCTCAGTAAGTATGTGTCGTTGTCATCAACGTCGCCATCACTGTCCTGCCGGTGCCACCACCTTAGCTGTGAGTGCCTGTCTAGTCAGTGTCTGTGCCAACCCACAGACTCTCTCCTGGCGCCAGGAAAGCAGGGGCACAGAGTAAAAGATGAATCGTCTGGCCTTCAGCTTTGCCTTGGGTCTGCAGAGCTGAGCTCATGGCTGTGCCTCCTCTGCAGGTGTACCTGGCAGCAGGCACTGTGTACGGGCTGGAAGGCCAGCTGAATGAGTTGGAGGATGCCGCCCGCTGCATCCACAGCGGCACTGATGAGACTGAGCTGGCAGATCTGGAGGACCAGGTGGCCACGGCTGCAGCCCAGGTCCACCATGCTGAGCTCCAGGTGAGAACGCTCCTCTCTGCCCAGATGGGAGGTCGCCGGGCAAAAGGAGAGAGCAAGAATTATTTCGAAGTCCTTATATCTCTTAGTTCCTGCATTTCCAGCTCCGTTGCATGGATATGATCCTTCAGAGTGGATTTCTTTTAAAGTGCAGCCTTCCTTTGCCCAAATTATAGCCGTGATAATATATCAGACTTCTCTTTAAAACCTATGCCACTTAGGGTTAGGGTTTAGCGGGAAAAAATATTATTTATGGATGTTTGGGGAGGTTTTGTTCTAATAACAGTTAGTTACTCCTGCTTCCAAATTTTCCTAGGCTTAAATTATTGGAACCAAATTTTATGGCAGGAAATCCTGGAATCCAAAATATCCTATGTTTGAATGTGCCTATTAATTTATTATTCATGTCTGAATTTTGCAATGTTGTTATTAATAGCTAGTGTTCAGTCTGCCTTACTCTGTGTCGAGGGTTGGCCTAAGGATGCTGTCCACTGCATTATACAGGGTCACGGTGCGGGCGATCCTGGGAAAGTCTCTCTTAACTCTTAGTGTCAGGAAAAGCGATTCTTGGTCTTTATCTTGTGAACATAGGCTCCTACCCTGATCTCTTTGCTTTGGCTCCCAGGAAACTTAAAGCAGGAGACTCCTCTTCTATCAAGTTTAAGGGATATTGGGCATGCAGTCTTAGGCGTACAGTGGAATATAACTAGATGGATGGATGGATGGATGGATGGATGGATAAATAGACAGATAGACATAGGCAAAAATCAACCCTCAGTAGTCTCCTCTCTTTTTGTCCTTTGCCCTATGGATTAAAACTTAAAAAATTAATCCCTGCAGAAACCGGTTTGGCTCAGTGGATAGAGCGTCAGCCTGCAGACTGAAGGGCCCCAGGTTCGATTCCAGTCAGGGGCATGTGCCTTGGTTGCGAGCACATCCCCAGTGAGGTGGTGTGCAAGAGGCAGCTGATCCGTGTTTCTTTCTCATCGATGTTTCTAACTCTCTGTCCCTCTCTCTTCCTCTCTGTAAAAAAATCAATAAAATATTTTTTTTTAAAGAATGAAAGAAAAATTAACCCCTTCTTATCCAGAACCTGGCAGTGAGCAAATCAGGTCAGCAGTTTGCTCTCCCATTGAGCTGCCTCCCAGAGCCCTCAGAGCAAGGCCCTACAACAAAACTCTAGTCCACACCAGTTGCAAATGACCGATAAAGGTTTAGCCTGCAACCTCTCTCAGAGGCTTGGGAAACTTATTGGACTGTAAACCCAAGCAGTGCAGCTCCCAGTGAAATGTGAGGAGTCAGACAGGAAAGCCTCTGGAAGCCCGGGAGGGGCAGGGGCTGCACCGCGGCCCCGCTGGTGGGTGGTGCACGACAGCTCTCCTTGCATTCTTTCACCAGCTGCCACGGCTTGGCTGTCACCTACCTCCTCTTCTTTCTGACCAAGGCAGCCCCTCCTTGGGGCTAGAAGAAGCATCTCCCAAATTTGCTGACTTTTCAGTCCTTCTCTCTGCACTTCATATAGCACCTGTCCCAGTAGGCTTTGTCCAAAGAATCCCTCAGTAAATGGCGGTAGAATCAGAGTTTGTCTTGAGTGGCACCAACAAGTTGAGAGATGGGGAAGGCAATGGAGACCTCGAGGTGGAACACTCATATGGCTGCTGGGCCTAGATACGTTCACATTACCACTGTCTGTGCCATGTCAGCAGGTCAACCGTGATCCCCATCTCCTCCCTCAACTCTGCCAGTCTTCTCCTGCCCCTTCCTGTGCCTCCCATGCCAGCCTTGGCACGGTCTCTGAGAATGTGGCAAGAGGAGGAACACTGGCATCAATTCCAGTGTCTGCCCCCGACCAGCTGTGAGATGGTGGGTATATTACTTATCCCTCTGAGCCATGGCTTCCTCATCTATAAAACCAAGGAATGATTTCCTATGTCACTGGATTATGAATGAGTTCATGAATGAAGCACACTTAGCATGGTGACAGCACATAACAATGCCATTTCCTAAGAGTAGGGACTGTGTCTTCTTTATCCTAGGGGCAGGGATGGACCAGGTTCTTTCTGGCACTGAGTGGGCCCTTCTGGCCTTCCAGTGTTATAGTCAAGGACACCGATGCCCAGCAAGAGGACAGAGTTTCTCGATAGAGGAGATGGACTTGAGCTGGGAGTTGCTGGGGATCCCTTCTAAAACTCAGAGCTGTGCTTTTGGATTCATGATGCGATGGGAAAATGAAGCCAGACTGTACATCACACTTGCCTTTCAAAGCTCAATCAAGTGTTCCCTCCCATGGAAGCCTCCCCTGATGGCCCTGGGCCAGGCCTTCCAACGGGCCGTGGGCTCCCAGGTATCCCTAGGGGTACTCTGACATGGATGACAAGCTCTAGAGCCACCAACTAGAAATTTAAACATAGAATAGTCTGCGTTTTATTTTCTCACTATAGCAGTAGATAGAGAAGTGCTTGGTAGAAGTTGAATGAATAAATGAGCATATATCAAAGCAGATTTGTTCTTCTTTTAAAAAATGATTTTATTTATTAGAGAGGGGAGAGGGAGAAGGAGAGAAACATCAATTGGCTGCCTCCTGCACACCCCCTACTGGGAATCAAACCTGCATGTGCCCTGACTGGGAATTGAACTGGTGACCTTTCGGTGCATGGGCTGACGGTCAACAAACTGAGCCACACCAGCCAGAGCAAACCCAATTTATTTTTTATTTTTTATTATTTTTTTACTGATTTGTAACACGTTTAACAAAGATTCTCCCACCTGTGCTTTCTTCCTACGATTCTGTCTTTCTGATCCATTAAGATTTCTGATATCGAGCGCCGGATTTCAGCCCTGACCATTGCAGGACTCAACATAGCACCGTGCGTGCACCTCACCAGGAAACGAGATCAAAAGCAAAGGAGCCAGGTGCGTTTGTCCCTCACTCCTGTGGAAAATTTGGAAGATAACGTTTTCTGGCTTTGAGAAGGTGTGTTGATTGCTATGTTCTATTTGTAGGTACAAACAATAGACACATCAAGACAGCAGAGGAGGAAACTGCCTGCTCCACCAGTGAGAGGTAAGCTCAACTAAAACCACAAAGCAACCAAGAATGAAGCACCTATCAAACTCAGAAATCTTGAGTTTGAGGACCGGATCCAAGGGGAAGTTCTCAACTAGGGTTGCTCTTGTGGAGGGTCTTTCTCAACTCGGATCCCCTCAAGAAGCAGACCGTGGGACAAGGATGTGAGTGCAAGTAGTTTATCTGGGAGGTGACTGCAGTAAGCACCGGTGGGGAAGGGAGAAAAGACTCAGAGAAGAAAGGTAAGCCCACACAAGGTACTACATACTGCTGAGGACTTCCGGGAGACGGTGCTGACTGCACCTCGGAGTTTCTTGCCCAAAGAGTATGAAGACAAGTATTTCAACTCCCATCATCACTGGCTGAAGGTGACTCCTGCAGAGCATTAGCTTCCTGGTACTCCTGACCTGCCCCATGCATGGGCAACGGAGAGTGGCAGGGCTTGCATAGGATGTGTCAGAAGGTGCTGGGATAGTGACTGTCAGGGAGAAGTGGGCAGGGCACTTAAAGCATCTAACTTGAAAGGGAATCTAGTGATGCCAGGTGTATCACCCTTATCCTGGACATTTTCAACAACTTCTCTGGATTCAGGAGCCACATGAGATGATGAGATGATGATGATGATGCCAAAGTAGAAATCCTAGATCTACAAATTAGAAGAGTAGGAAGTCAGCAGATATATGTTGAAGTCTTTTTCCGCCATTCATCGTTAGACAGTTATTGAATGACTATAGACCACCAAAACTTACACAATTGAAATGTATTATAGATCCATGACATCTTGTTTGATAGCCTTAGGTCAGTATGTGTTTCAGAATTTCTTGGACATTAAGGGAGAGGGGGATGGGTGGAGAAGGGAAAGGGATTAAGCAATACAAATTAGTAGGAACAGAGTAGTCACAGAGATGTAGACCACGGCCTAGGGAATATAGTCAATAATATCGTGATAACTATGTATGGGACCAGGTGGGTGCTTGAAGCATCAGGGGAACTCTGTAAAGTACCTGATTTTCTGACTACCATGCTGTACATCTGAAACTAATACAAAATAATATGGAGTGTAAACTGTAATGGAAAAGTTAAAAAAAAGAAAGGTAGTATGATGTATATACTGTATATTTTATAACAGCCTTCCCACCCACCCACACACACACCCCTAGCCATGGTGTCAGGCAGCATCTGATAAACACAGCAATATCCTGGCAAGAAGACGTGAGAATGTTCACACTCCATGGGTGGACAAGGACTTTTAAGGGCCGCGTGTCCATTCAAGTTACATTTTGCCCAGATAATTTTGGCTCCAAAGTTATAAATATACGCACTTTTTAGAGGATTTTACATTTCCCAATGGCAAATAAGAATTTATGAACTATGTTAGATTATCTCTAAGCTACCTTTTCCCAGAAAGCTACTAAGGATACCTATTTGGTTCATTACAAAAAATGAACACAAAGCCACTGTCAGACCCGCGGACCAGAATGAAATCCTAAGTCCAGAGCACAAGCCTGGGTAATCTGGACCCCTGGTCTTTCTTCCTTAACAGTCGGTCCAGCTCTGGGTGACATTCTCATGTGTTTCTTTTTAGCTGAGAAAATGGAGGTTTCTTCAGTGACCAACACAAAAACATTCAACCGCAACTTCATTCTCCAAGGCTCCTCGGCAAACAGGAAAAGCACCACCAAGGACTTGCTGGTAAGTGCCACCTCTGTCCTAAAGCCCATCTCTTTCCCTGGAGGTGGTACCTCCATTCTATAGCCCTTCGGTCTGTGGCTTCCCTGGTTGAGCCCTAAGACCCATCTGTTCTGCATGGTCTCGTGGCCTGTTGCTGGGGGTGATGGGGATCTAAGAGAGGTGACGAACCTGCTGTTGGGCATTGCCAAACTCTCTGATGTATGGATACAGCCTCACAACTGCATATCCACCTCCTCATAGTAACCAGTTTTGATATAAGAGAAATAAAAATGTGGGCACATGAATGTAAGGTCGGGTTGAGGTACAGGAGTTTTTATGCTGTTTTTGAACCATACTCACTCTTCCTTAAATTTCCCATCGGCCACTAAGGTCCTGAAAAAAGGCAGCAACTGCCCCTAAATGAGGCAAAAATAGGGACAGAAGATAATTTGCACAAACCCTGGAGGTCATGTAGAGGTCGAGGAATAATAGATTATTTGCCTAAACACCAAAATATGTGTCAGAATTTTGGCTTAATGCTTGATGCTACTTATAAAGGATGTGACGATCCAGCTGAACTGCCTCAGTAGTACCATTATGCTACCGGCAGACAGTGTCTGGCGTGACAAAACCAAAGCAAGGACAGGTATAACCTTTGGCCTGTCACCTGTCACTCCCTTCCCCGTCCTCTTCCTCCTCATCTCCTGTCTCCTGAGGACAGCACCGGGTAATGGGTAATGGCGCAATGCTGGCCGTGCCATTTAGAATTACAACCACTGCGTCTTTAGGCATCCATGGCCGCGTGCAGCCCTCTGCCTTTCCTTCTGTGGCCAGCCACTACCCCCGACCTTTCAGAGTCCAATTACCTTGCTGCTGGCTGTTTCTTCAAAGAGCTAAAAGATTCATTATTACACTAAAAGGGCAGACCACCAGGGCCGGGGAAGAAACCTGTTATAAATCAGGTGGTTAAAAATAAATTACCTTTCATGGAGCTAGAACATAGATCGGTGGTTGCCAGGGGCTGCGGGGACGGGGATAGGAAGCAACTGCTCAGTAGGTGAGAGGTCTTACTTTACAGCGAGGGGAAGCTTTTGAAACCACAGAGGTGGTGGCGGCACACACTGTGAACATACTAAACGCCACGGAATTGTTCACTCCCAACGGGTTAATTTTATGTGAATTTCACCTTAATAAATTATTTCTTAAAATAAATTACCTTTAAATAACAAGTTAAACATGAAAACATGGACAATATTTACTAAAGAAGTGCAAACAAAAATGGAAATACTACTTTCAAGCAACGTGAAGTTTAAGACAAGAAGCATTTGCAGAGAAGGCAAGGAGGGAGGGTGTTTTAATTTTGGTGAAATAAAGTTGGTAACTCATGAGCCTTGCTTGATTTGGCAAACAATAGAGCAAGACCATTTATTATCCCATGGTTGGTGGCTTGAAAATTCCCTTAATTAAGATATTTATTTAATTGTATACTTTTCAGCAGGTTCACTTTCTTTCCAGCCATCGATGGCCCATTTATAAAAGCTGATTTTTATACTAGTTACAAAGAAAAATCTCAAAAAATTCCCAAAAGTAGTCAGTATAAAACTACCTGCTGTGACCCCGATGACAAAAATAATCTAGAACAGTACACTGTTGAGTAGAACTTTCTAAAATAATGGAAAGGTCACTTGTGGTAGCCACACGTGACTACTGAGCGCATCAAATATGGCTACTGCCTTGGAGGAACTAATCTTTACATTTTCATTTAACTTTTAATTAACCTAAATGTAAACAGCCACAAGTAGCTAGTGGCTACCATATTGGACACGGCAAATCTAGAAAATGAGAACAAAAGTAAAAGTAAACAAAAACCCTATTTTGATTTATAAAGCATACACAACTATACATTTATACAAACATACACGTATACACACTCTGAAACACACATTTCCAAGGAACTATGAACTAAAGAGAAAAGTAAATCCACAGAGCACTTAGAACATGGAAACATTACATATATTGAAACAGATGGGATCCGTAGAAACTACACTAGTCATATTTATAATATTAAATGTTTTCTTTGTTAGTAAAGAAGGAAGAAGCAAAACTAATGAAATAAAACATTGAATTTCAGACATCAAGGATAAATGCGATAAATGCAAAAACCAATTAATTAAAACCAGAGAACTATAGAAATCATAATTTAAGAGTTTGTCCTTTGGAAAAATACAAAATAGAATTTTTTTTAAGCCAAATCAAGAAAAAAATAAAAACATGAGACTATAAAAGAGATGTAAATTTTTAAATATATATGATGTAAATCTATGCTAATAAATGTTAAAGTCTTAATTCTAATAAAATCAGAATATTAGTGAAAAATAATTAAAGAAATAAAATTTTTAAATTGATTAAACCTTAAAAAAAAAGATTCTCTGGCCAACTGACTTAGCTGATAAATTTTGAAGGAACAGTTAATTCCCATGCAATATAAGTCACATCAATAGTTTAATAAGAAAAGTCATTTCTTCAATTAATTTATGGTTTAATCCAGTTCTCATAAAAATCTCAGTGGGGCTTTTTTAAAGTTCATGTAGGAATAAGTCAGAAAGAATAGACAAAATCATTTTGCAAAGTTAAAGTGATCTTCCTGCCAGATTTTCAAACAAATTAAAATCTGTAAAGCAGCGATTTTCAACCTTTTTCATCTCAAGGCACACATAAACTAATTACTCAAATTTTGCAACACACCATATATATATATATATATATATATATATATATATATATATATATATATATATATATTTTATATATATTTTATATATATTTTATATATTTATATATATAGCCAATCAGACCAAAAAATAGGTATAATTATGATCCATCACACTGGATGGCTATTGTTATGTTGGCCGTTATCATTTTTTGACAAGTTAAGGCAGTGGTCGGCAAACTCATTAGTCAACAGAGCCAAATTTCAACAGTACAACAACTGAAATTTCTTTTGAGAGCCAAATTTTTTAAACTTAGATTTCTTCTAATGCCACTTCTTCAAAATAGACTCGCCCAGGCTGTGGTATTTTGTGGAAGAGCCAAAGAGCCGCATGTGGCTCACGAGCCACAGTTTGCAAACCACGGATCTAACGGAAGGGCGGTCAGCGCCCCTGACTAAATATCATATTCAGAGATTGCATGTTTTAAAAATCCTTGCTGCATAATGGTAGAAAACTGCTTCTATAAAGGAATTAGTGATGAGTGGGATAGATTAGAAAGCTCAGATACAGTGCAGGCACACAGAAAATGTGTTATGTGAATCTTTCAAAGCATTAGGAACTAGTAGGGAAGGTATAGATTTTCTTTTTTTTTTAATGTGCTTGGGAAACTAGCCAAGGGGGTGGTAGTGGAAAGGGCACCAACTTGCCCCTAGTCCATATACCCAAATAAATTTCAGGTGGTAAAAATGCACCAGTTTTTAAATATCCTGAACCACTTAACTGGTCAATGAGCATGAATACCCTCTATGACATCAAAAAGCAGCAGGCGTTTCCCATCGCCTTGCCTCCCTTCTGCCACGTGGCTGACCGTGCGCTCCTTGTCTCGCCTCAGGAGCCCGCTCTGGAATCCGCTGTGATGTATTAGTGCCACGGAGCTCCACTGCCAGTGACCCACTGCCTCCGGCGTACACGACAGTGCCTTGACCCAACAGCCATTGACTACTGGATGGATCTCCACCTGAGGAGAGGGCCTGGGGAGCCGCGGTGCCCAGGGCTGCCCTGATACCTCACCCAGAGAGCGGGCCCAGACATCGATCAGCATGGCGGTCTTGCCCGCTCTCTGCCTCAGGCTCCTGGGAGAAGCCAGAACAGAACACGGAGATGCTGGCTTCCCACAGCAGAGCTCCACGCCCAAAAACGTATCACATCCCTGTCTGCTTTGCTGTGTGTCGTCTTTGTGATTGTTTTTTTGTTTTTTTGTTTGTTTGTTTTTATCCTTTTGATTCAACCAGAATGACATATCAACAATTTGTCCAAAGAAAAATGGTTTGGGGGAGGGGGGGGGAGGTTAGGGGTGGGGGTGGAGGGAAGGGAAATGGGTATCTTCATTTAATTCATTATCAGTTCTTATTCATCTCTCACAAGCATCTTCTCTTGCAAATGCTGAGGGGAAAGGTGAAGATGCCCCTGTGTGAGCGCTGGGACTGTCCCAATGGGAGAGTGCTGGCCCATCAGGCATGCAGGTCTCCCTTCAGCCACCCCCTTCCTGCTAGGCCCCAGCCCACCGCACCACCAGCCATTCCCACTGCTTTGCGATCACTCTGTCTCACTCATGCCATTGCCCAGGCCCGTTTGAAACTACGGCTCATTGAGAATTTAGGTTCTTCCTTGGACTTTCTGAGACTTTCCCCACTCTGGAGTGGAGAGGGGCTTAAGAAAGCCCATCACTGGCTTAATTTTAGGGTACTGTCCAGAACCAACGTGACACGGGTTAGCGATGACCGCCTCTGAATGAGGTGTCGCTCAATGCATTCTTGCAGACTATAGCCACAGGAGAAAATGTCGTCCTCCAAAATTTACTTCCCAATAAATATTCAACCGAAGTAATAAAATGACCGTAAAGACAAAAGTAGTTAAGGAATAGCCAGAAAACTTAGAGGACAGACTGTGAATTTAATGGACACAGAGTTGACACTCACTCTATGTTTCAGGTCTCAAATGCATGACTGTGTCGACTGTGTTTATGAAAGCAAATGGAACTGGAATGTCACTCGATCAATCATTCTGCTAATATATTCTGAATCTAAGGAAGAAGGCAAAGATGGGAGGCAAGGGAACAGTATGGTCGATGTTTAGTCTTCTTCTCATTTGAATCCTTAGAGCGACCCTATTCAGTAGGAATCGCCATTTTTTAGATTTGGAGACTGAGGGCCATAGACATTAATTTGCAAAGTCACGCCTGGAAGCCGAGTGTAATTCGAATGCCTCATGCTGAAGAGCCTCCCTCTGTCTCTGTGTAGTTTCCAAGTCTATGTTCTTTCGCTGGTAGGCACATTCCCAGACCTGACTTGCTGCTGACATGTGCGTTGTGGTGCATTCCTGATGGGGGTCTCACTAACTTCCAATAATTACTCTTGCTGATGCTGTATGTCTTCTCCAACAGAAATAATGCCTTTGAAGTAAAGTAAATCTTTGGTCTTTCATTCTGGTGGTATGGTTCAAAGCAAACAAATTCAAATTTGACAAAACACAACAAAAAAAGATCTGGTTCCCGATAGAATGTCTTTCTGTAGGAGGCACGAAAAGCAGCTATTGTTGTGTTACAGTGTTAAAATATTCTGTTTTCCTTGACAAAAATGTGTACTGTGTGAGCCTTGCAAAAAAAAAAAAGAAAGAAAGAAAAAGAAAAGAAACCTGCTCTTCGGCTTTTGAATTTTTATAAAGGTTTCCTTGTGCCAAAAAAAAAAAAAAAAAAGTGCAAAGATTTAATTTACTATTAAAAACCATAAGTCTATGTTACAGTTCCAGAAGAATTATTTTGTCATCAAGTGATTTTGATCTTCAGTGTCAATATTTATATTTAGATTAATTTTTATAAATGAAAATATTTTAATGGTTTGAGAAAATGAGGATGACAGGACCATTTCTTTGATGACGTCTGAAAGTTATGCTTGCCTTCATGTTATATGCACATTACCGAGAATTACTGTCAAGAGAAATGATAAAGAAGTAAAGTCATTTATGAAAATAATGTCTGTAGGTATGTGATTGTTTGTTTGTTTGTTTGTTTGTTTTTTGCTTAGGAAAGGCTGGGAGAGAAGAGGGGCTAGGGAAAGAAGTCAATGGATAGTCGCCAGAGGGGCCAACATTCAAAGTCACAGTTGCCCCGTACCCCAGTCCTTGGCTTGTTCTCCTGAGAACAGAACACCCAGCAATCACCTCTCCTGAGTGGTCAGCCACGTAAGATCAGCAATTCTCCGGCAGGGGATCGGAGTGAGGGCTTAGGAGTGGTGGTGTGATTGTGCCTCTGAGAGGACGCTTTTGATCACCATATCATGGAGGGGTCCTACAGTGGCTAGTGGCCAGGGATGCTCCTAAACATCCTACCGCGCACAGGACAGCCCCCCACAACAAAGATCATCCAACTCCAAATGTCAGTCGTACTAAGGCTGAGAACTTGGGTTAGACCCTGGAGGTAAGCCTGGGCATCCGTGGAGAAGCCCCTGCCAATCTCTGCCGGGACTCTGTGGCTGAGCGGGAAGCAGGTCAGGAACGCCCCTGGAGTCTTGCACAGGCTCAGGGCCGTTGTTGCTCCTCTGTGTCTGGCCCGTCTGGAACACTGAAGCCAGACACTGTCCCCTCCGTCCCCGCCTAGGAACAGGAACCCTCCACTAACCTGAAATGAACGTGTGAATGAAAACCACCTTTCTCTGCACTGCCGTTAACGTGCCTGGCGCAATGATGTTCGCCACTCCCGACAAACAGGCTCACCCTGAAGCGGACAGGGTGAGGTGGGGAAGACAATATCAGTAGACCCATCTGAAATCCTCTCCAGGCAGCATTTCCTGGCCGGAATTCCTGATTTCGCCATCTTCCCACTCCACATCCCCAACTCCATAAGGCAGCAAGGCAGTAAAGAGGGACCAGTTGTCCTCAAGTTACCTGAGCATTCAGCTTCTCTAACCCAGAAGCCCCAAAAGCATGCACTGAGCAACCAATCTGCATGGAACACCTGAGTATTCTAGAGAATCCATCTGAGTCAACAATTTGAGTAGCAAGAGTGATCGAAGCAAGGCTAAAAAATATACACAGCTCTGCTTGCCTCGGGGTAAAAAGGAACAGTGTAAACATAATGTTTTCCCCTAAGAAATAAGTGCTTGATTTTCCATGTCACACACAAAAATGTGACCCAAGCCAAAACCAGTTTGGCTCAGTGGATAGAGCATTGGCCTGCGGACTGAAAAGTCCCAGGTTCGATTCCCATCAAGGGCATGTACCTTGGTTGCGGGCACATCCCCAGCAGGGGGTGTGCAAGAGGCAGTTGATCGATGATCCTCTCTCATCGATGTTTCTAACTCTCTATACCTCTCTCTTCCTCTCTAAAAAAATCAATAAAATATATTTTAAAAATATGTATACTAAAAATAAAAAATGTGACCCAATATTCAAAGCATAGAAGCTGCCAGAAAAAAAAAAAAAAAAAAAAAAAACTAGGCCCCACTCTTAGACTTTCTCCTTACCAGCTCTGCAGCCAATCACCTCACGTGTAAAATGGAGTCACAGATCTCTTCCTCATGGTGGTGTGAAAGGTTGAATGAAATAACAGATGAGAAACCCTCCAGCAGAATGTCTGGAAACTATAGATACTCAACGCCTGTGTCCTCCTTTTTCTCTTAGGATAAGAAAAATCACTTAAATATCAGCACCATGACTTATTAAGCAATTTGCTGTGCCTCAATTTTTCTATTGTTAGTAGACAAGATTGTTGTTCTTCCAATATCTACTCCTTCTAACCCCCTAATCCTGGGAGGAGTGCACTACCCCGCCCCACTGAAGTCAGACTTGACCATGCCTCTTGCCTTTATGGTTGGTACAGCGTACTTCTTTGTCTTAGTCTGTTCAGGCTGCTGTAACAAAACACCAGACACTGGGCACTTTATGAACAACAGAAATTTGTTTCTCCCAGTTCTTAAGTCCAGGATTAGGGCACTGGCTGGACCCCGGTAAAACCTGTTGCAGACTACCTACCTACCTGTTTCCTCGCAATAGTGGAAGAGCTCAAGGGATCCTGCTGGGGCCTCCTTTTATAGGACACTTACCCCAAGCCTGAGGGAGGAGCCCTATCACCTCCCAATGGCCCCACCTCCCAACATCATCACCTTACTGATTAGGTTTCAACATATGAATGATGGAGGGACACAAACCTTCAGACCACAGCATTCTCCAACCATTGGTTTGGACTTGGCCATGTGACTTGCTTTAGCGAATGAGATGTTAGAAGAAGAGGTACAGAAGGGGCTTGAAATATGTGGATGGAGTTGGATTTGTCTACTTACATGTTGCCATTCGCCATGAGAACATGGCACAGGGAGCCCACTGGTCCAAGGACCAGACCCAGACTCAAGATGCAGCTTGCAGCCAAGCTCAGCGAGCCCAGCGGAGATAGCAGAGCCATCTCAGCCAACCTGCAGACGTGAACAAGAATAAGTCACTGCTTTGTGACACCATCGAAATTTGGGGTGGCTTGTTATGCAGCAATACTGCCTGAGAAGATAGTTTTACCACCTTAGTGTAGTCCTTGTGTTAGAAATGACATGAAGATGAGTATAAAAGCAAACCCAGGTGTCAATGGTGTATATAAACAAACAGTGTGCTATTTATTTTTGGTTTTTCAGAATTTATATAAAAGCTTTGGTTATATTTTGGGCAGCGCATCTATCTGTCTCCATGTGTGCTTGTGTTGATCTTCCACAGAGGTTCCTCTATTCATTGAAATTTTGGATAAAACTTTCAAGTACTGGAGACATTTGGTATAGTCCTTTAAAAATAACTTCTCGCATGATGGCCGCTCTCTTTTCTCCCAAAAGTATTCCCCATACAAAATTTGCATTTGACAGAATAGTTGGTCGCATGAGCCTTCTGTCT